GCAGCGAGGTGGGGTAGAGGTACGTGTCGACACACCGGAGCAACGACGGCGGCAGCTTCCCGCGCAGAAAGGCGCCGTGCACCGGCGCGGTCGTGGTTTGCTCGAGATAGGCCTGCACAACGATCGCGTTGGTGAGGAGGTCTTGACACCCCAACGGCTCGAGGACCGTGAGCACATCGACGGACGGCGGGAGGTCGTCGAGCACGGCCATGCCTTCCAGAAGCGTGTGCCAGCACGTCTTGAGGAGCTCGAAGCTCCATGGCGCCTTGTACGACGCGCAAATGGGCAGCTCGATCGCATCCGGATGGGTAAGCACCGAGCCCGCGAGGTTGACGAGGAGCCGGAAGACGTCGGCGAGGCCGCGCCACTGGCTGCTGGCGCGCGTCATGTACGCCAGCATCGACGGCTGCAATGGTTCCCAGCCAAAGCGCGTCAGCGCCGCCTGCACAAATGCCGCAGTCGCTTCGATCCCGGCCGACAAGTCCATAAACTCGGCGATGAACGTGGCCGTGACATCGCGGCTGTCGAGGGCACGGAGGAGCGGCAGGACGTCGAGCGGATTCGGGACATCTACGTCCTTGGGGTCATCCTTGCGGTCGGTGGTCCCAAGCATTTCGATGGTCGCGAGCGCAAAGGCGTCGACCGACGTGTACCCAAGGAGGTCGGACGTCGCCTGCTTGACGAGGAGCTTGAGGTGCTCGATGGCCTTGGTCCAGCCGAGAATGCGCACGCGGTGCTGCTTGGGCCATACGACAATGTGGAGCGACTCCGAGTAGATCGCACCGACGACGGGACCGAGCGGGCGCGCGCGGAGACACGCCTTGACGACCGGCGGCGTGTGACACGCTGGGTAAAAGTCGGACGTTGTCACGCGCATGAGGGCGTTCGGGTCCTCGGCGATCGCTCGGTCGCGCGCGAGCTCTTCTTCCGACATGGTCTGCAAATCGCCATGGAAGGGCTTCTTCCGCGCGCCACAAAAGGCAATGTCGTAGGCATCCGTGTCGGCCACGGCCTGCACGAACGCGATGTCGACGCCCAATAGCATCTCGAAGTCGAGGAGCATGTATTGGTGCGTGCAGCGGTACGCGAGGTTTGCATAGTACTGGCGCGGGATCTTGGCCAGCGACGCCAGCGACGCCGAGACCGCGGCGAGCGACGGCGGCGCGTCACGGCTCGCGTGGTCTTCCATGTAGACCAGATCGTAGACCAGCATGACGCGGCGGCCGTGGTCCATTGGTGATACCGTGAGTGTCGTCGCGTTGTAAAAGGCCACAAACGACGCGTAGAGCTCGTCGCCCGTGTACACTTCTTGCGTGTGCCGGCCGTGCGTGACGTGGATGTCGCCGCCCACGTGTTCCGAGAGCAGCACGATGCAGAGCGTGCCAAAGGAGCCTTTCGCCCGCGTCGTCGGAAGGAGCTTGGCCGTCGTGCCATTGCCGTCAATGTGGAGGTGGGACAGAATCGCCTCAAACGGCCCTTCGGGCACGAGCTCCTCTTCAATGCGCGGGAAGATATCGTCTTCGAGGAGCTCGTCCCACGCCACGTCGTTCTTGATCGTGAGGTCGCACGCTGGAATCATGCACGCCGGCGACTTTTTGTAGAGCGTAAAGAGCTGCTTGGCCTGGCGCGCCGAGAAGGGCCATGTGAGGCGCTGGTTCACGCCCCGGACGCGCAGCATCGGGTCAACGCTCTCGTCGTACTCGGCTGTGAAGCAGTGGCGGCCGCCGTCGCCGATCGCCTCGACCGCGCGGTTGAACCCGGCAACGACCTCGATGCGAGCCGAGGCCATCGTTGGAGACAGGCGTCGCAAAAGTATAAGACCAAATCGACGTCGCTGATTCGTCCGATTTCCACCAAGCGCATGACGATTGGCTAAAAAGCAATCCATCACGTCCATCAAGATGGTCACGACAGAGGCGGTCGAGAAGCCAGCCAAGGTGTCATAATGTATATCCGTGGTGCAAGCTTCTCGAGGCTCGCATGTCGAGTCACCTATTAGTGTTCAATACATTGTCTTTCCCGTCGAGGACGATAGTGCGGCAGAGGAATTATGTCTGGTGGTCTACAGCAGAGTCTCGAGCAAATGAAAGGGACCGGTTCCGACATCATCCAGATCCAACCAGGATCAAGATGCCGCCCATTATGCTACTCATCGCGGTTGCCTGTCGGTGAGCCAGCATTGGTGGGCGAGAGCCGTGCGCCGAATACCCTCAGGAGCGCAAGCCGGTGCCCCTAGCCGTGTCGATAGAATAGATACTGTACATAACGTAGATTGATCGAGGTCTTTGTCCGGGTTGATCAACATATAATAGCTTGATACGTAGCCCTTTCTGCTTTTACAAAATGTCAACAACAACCCTAGCCTAGCAGACGAAGCGAGGCTATCTATCCTCAGCAGAAACCAGCAACATCACCGCAACAGGAGCGCACAATAACCCTCGCCGGACCTCCTCTTTGCAAAAAATTAAAAAGTGCGATACTTCTCGATTTATGCGTGTCATCCTTGCGCAGGGGCCATGCTAATCTTCTCTGTATCGTTCCAATTTTTACGGATGATCCCCGAAGGGATTCCTGGCATACTAAAAATTTTATCGTACTGTATCTAAACTTTGGTCGGCGCTTCGATCCTCGGTAGCGCCATTGTTTTTACTGCTTTTTCTTGTGTCGCTTCCGAGACGCCCGCGTTACCGTCCAGTTGACGCTCGCATCTGCAAGTTCATTTCGGGTCAATGCGTCTTCTTTATTAACGACGACCGTTGTGAACCCTGCGGTCGGAACGTCGTCGTCGACGCGACTCCAAACACGAACGCCATCCTTGTCACGTTACATTGGACGCGACCACTCTATCAATTAGAGAGACAACGACGACGCGCCAAAGGAGTTCTCCGCACTTTCGCCCGAGGTCGCCACCGCCGTAGACTTGCCCTTCTTGCTCTTCTTGCTCTTCTTCTTGTGTTTGCCAGCACGCAAGCGCGCCGCCGTGGCTTCGTCCCGCTGCTTCTCGGCGGCCGCCGCGGCCTCGGACGAAATGCGGATCGATAGCCGCGACATGGAGAGCAAGGCCAGTGCCACCCGTGGGTGCGGGGGCAACGCACCCACCGCCGCCCGAAGCTTGGGACAGGTGACACGGACGACGTCGACGTCTCTTGTCGGCTGGCACGCCTCGAGCTGCAATTTCACCTCGTTGCACTCGCGGCAATGGCACAAGGAGTGGAGCTGCGGTGTCGGCGCGGGCGTTTGGGTCGCCTGGAGAAAGGCCACGAGGGCTGTCCGGACGGCGGCGGCCATCGCGCTGCGGGGCAGAGGGTACTCACCAGGGAGCTGCGAGTCGAGGTACTGCACCATCGGGTAGAGCACGCGGCGAACGTAGTATAGTGCGTCCGGCGCATTGGTGACGAGGGCCGTCACCTCGTCCAGAAGGCGCGTCACGGCCGGCGGCGACAAGAGATGGCACGTTGCAATCGCTTCCGGGACGTGAATAACGGGCTTGTGCGTCGTCAAGACACGGCCCGTGACGGCGTCATTGGTCCGTGCCAAAGTGCCCGCAAGAAGGCGCAGCGTGCGCTGGACGACGTCGTCGACGATTCGGTTCGGGCTTGCGACGACCATGCCGGCGCGAAGCGCCTTCAGGAAAGGCGCAAAGGCGTTGACGTCGATGACGTTGGCGACGTCGTGGTACGAGCTGACGACATCTCGGTACCGCGCATGAAAGCGGAAGACGTCGGCCAAGTGACTTTGGTCCTTGTCCGTCAAGTACTCGATGGTGTCGGCGACCGTCGGCACGAGCTCCGCGACGAGGTCCGGCGGCTGCACTGTGAGCAGTACCGGTAAGAGCACCGAGAGCACGTGGTTGGGCACGTAGATCATCCTCGTCCATGCCAAGACAATACTCATTGGCCCGCCGGCGGGTATATCCTGCAAGCGTCCGGCCCGGGCCTCCATGATGAGTGCGTCTTGCAGCAGCACAATGTGAAACCGGATTGGCATCGCATTTGGGTACTCGTCGATCGCATGCACTGCCGTCAGCTGCGTGGAGAGGACACGCCACGTGCGCTGGAGGAGGTCTGCGACGACCTCTGTCTCGTGCACCGGCACGACCGTGTCCAGCAGGAGTTTGCGAGCAAAGTGCATCGCATGGGCAAGACGGTATAGTCCGTGGTCAGGCGACGTTAACGTGCAAAGTGACACGACGCTGTCACTGATGCTCGACCACCCAAATTTCGCCACCACGTCGCGCAGCCAGTGGAGGCCCCGGCGCCGCGACGCTCGCTTGTCCAAGGTGAACGCGTCCGGCAGAAAGAGCCCGGGCAACGACGACGACGACGACGACTGCAAGAGGTACGACGCCATCGCGGTCGCGTCGGCTTCCGTCGTCTTGTAGCCATCCGTGGACCCAAACATGTCAATGACACCGCGAGCGAGATCGTCGGTACACGGAAAACCAAGTGCGTCACCGGCATGGAGCGCGCGCATCGCCGGTTCGAGCCCGACGAAGCGCGGGCGGTGGCGGGTCGGCCAAAACACCAAAATCGCAGAGGACAACTGCTGGAGCGACCGCGTCGTGATCCACCGACCGACGGCGCGACCGACGAGGGCGTCCGTGACGGCGAGAGGCACCGATGCCGAACTTGCATGCAGTTGCACCACCGAGATGCGTCGGCGGGTCTGCAACTCGGGCGACTCGTGACAGTAGCAGTCCACCGTGTCGTCGCCATGACCGTCGTCGTCGTCGTCGTCGGTGTCACTGATGTCGCCGTCCCAGCCCTCGTCGTCGTCGACGGCTCGGGGATCATCTAGGTCGCACGTGTTCTTGTCCGTCACGTCGCAGAGGCTGAACTCGTTGTACGGGTCGTCGGGCCATTCGACGTCGTACCCGTTGTTGTCGGGCTCGGACTGCATGTCGTCGGCGCTCGTGTCGCCCGTGTAAAAGCCGTCGGCAGGATCTCGCGGCATGCGAAACGTCGCGCCGCCGGCATAGTCAAAGTGACCAGGCTCATAGCCCCACGGCGCGGCCTCGCCCGGTGGCACATCTTTTGCGCGCGGTCGCGCAGCCCACTCGCGCGCCTCGACCGCCTCGCGCTCTTGCCACGCCAAGCACTCAGCAGTGTGCTTGGCCGGCGCCTTGGCCCGCGGCGCGCGAACGAGCGCAATGTCGAAGCTACCAGTGGCCACGAGGCCGTCGACGAACGCAGCGACGGGACGTGGGTCGAGAGGCGGTAGGCGTACATCGAGTCGTACTGCTTGGGCTGCGCGGCGACCGCTGCGAGCAGCTGCGGTAGCGCGTCCGTGCGCCCGTCGTCGAGGTGCGCGAGGACCGCTTCGTACGCAGCCGCAATCGGCTTGACCCGGCTGCCACTCATCGAGTCGTCGAGTTAAATTATTGACGTGCGCGCGCATCAAATTCGCTCTCTGTATCGACACCGTGCATTGGTTCTTTCAGCCAATCAAATCGGCCGCACCCTGGGTGCGCGCACTTGCAGCACGAAGTTGCACTTTCCAGCTGCCCGTTCCTTGCAAACTGCCAGGCAGGCTTCCGTGTACTTTAATGTACAAAATGTCGTGTATAAACTTAGCAAATAGAATGGAAATGGTGCGCACCAGAGTGGGGTTTACCCTTCGGTGTCGGCCGTCGGCTTGGCCCGCTTGGCGTCGGCCATCGGTGTCGTCGCGCGCGGCCGCTTGCGCGTCACTGGCAACGCCATGTCGCCGCCACGAAGGTACGCCAAGCACGCTTCGTCGCGTTCGCGCCGGGCGCTCGCGCCTGCTTCCGAGAGCATGCGGATGCGCATATTGCGCGCACCAACAAAGGACACGGAGATGCGTCGGTGGGGGCGCCATTTTGTTACAAATGCGCGGAGCTGGTCGCAGGTCGCACGAAACACTTGGTCGATCGATCGCGTCGGCGCCTGCTTGGCGAGCTCACTCGAAACGCGCTGGCACTGCGAGCAGCGGCACGATAGCGCAACGGTCGTTGGCCCCGACCGGCGCGTCGCGCGAAGGAACGGGTCAAGCGCGTTGACGACCGCTTCGACCAACGGCGCCCGAACAACGGTGACATTCGTCGTCGTCAGGAGCTTGGCGTCCAGATACTGGATCGTCGGGTAGAGGAGGTCCCGGACGAAGAAGAGAGGGTCCGATTTCGCGCCGACCTTGGCGATGACGTCGTCGACGAACGGACGCACATGCGACGGCGACACAACCGCGAGGATGGAGAGCGCTGCGTGCACTGCCTTCACCGGCGGCGTGTCGTCGTAGCCCATGCCGTCGTAAAACATGATAACGTCCGCCACGGCCTCGTTGAGCGCGAGCGTGGTCGTCGTCACCAGGTCGGCGATCGAGCGGACGTCCGCAGGTGACGTGATGACCATGCCGTCGTTGATGGCGCGAAGCAGCGGCAATGTGGTCCGACTGCGGTGGGTCGACCACGCCTTCTGCACGACCGCCGACAAGATGCCTCGCTTGGCGCCAAGGGCAAAAATGGACGAGAGGCCATGCATCGGCAGCTCGCGCTCCGATTCGATGGCCGCATGAACCAGCGCAAGGTAGGGCGCCATCCACGGCGCCTCGAGCCGCCCATCGTCGAGGCGCAGTAGCGCCGGCAAGATGACGTGGAGGCCGTGGAACGCCGCCGAAAACTTGGTGACGACCGCGAGCAGCGTGTGCGCGGGTGCGAGAAACGCCCGGATGTTGGCCAGCACCGGCCCCGGGAGGTGGCCGCCGAGCCACGTGACGTGCGGCGCGTCACTGGCATCATACAACGCGGCGACGCGGGCGTCCATGGACCGCGCGTGGCACAGCAACGAGAGCCGGCTATCGACGCTGATGGCGTGCTGCCACTCGTGCGCGCTCACATCTTCAAACGACCCGACGTTCGTGAGCAACGCGTACCAGCACATGATCACGAGCTCGCCAAAGAACGGTTGCTGCGCATACGACGCCGTCGTCGGCAGCAGCGTATCGAGGAAGCGCAGCGTCAACACCGTGCCCTTCCAGTCCGTGCTCGACCGCGCAACGAGCTCGACGACCGCAGGCCCGATGCTCTCCCAGCCAAATGTGGTCAAGACCGAGATAAGCCACTTGCGGCCATGGCGCCGGGAGGTTTCGTCCCGGAGGTCAATCATGTGCCGTACATAGAGAACCCGCAGGGCCGGTGTCGACGTCAAAATGAAGGCGGCGAGCGCGCTCGAGTCCTCGGGTGTCGTGGCACACAAAGCAGTGCCGACTGTGTCCATGACGGCGGCCGCGAGTGCGTGCACCGAGTCGAACCCGAGCAGAGGCGACGCCGACGATGAGGTCACAGCGCGCTGGAGGGTGTCGACGGCGTTGCGGTAGCCAAGTAGCCGCACCCGGTGTTTCTTGGGCCAAAAAACGAGCACGGGTGAGACAATGTTGTAGATGCTGCGGGTCCCGACCCACGTCCCGACGGCGCGGTCGAGGAGGTGGGTCTCCAGCGCCGATCCGATGTCGCCCGATGCGGCATGGACGATGGCGCTGGAGATTTCCAGAGCGCGCTTGGATCGTGGCAGGAGCAGGCGGCCGAAACCAAAGATATCGTCGTCGTCGTCGGACGAGTCGTCGTCGCCCAGCATGTCGGCGTCATCTTCGTGCTCCGAGTCGTCCGAGTCGTCGTCGTCGTCGTCGTCCGAGTCGTCGAGACCGGCCTCCGACCCGGTTTCATACTCGGTGACGGACGCCGTCGACTCAAAGTCTGCCTGGTCGTAGCCGTACGGGCGACCTTCGTTGCACCGGTTGCCGCCGTCGTGATCGTCGAACGGCATCTCGGGCGCGCCGCGCACCATGAGCGCGGCCAAGTTTCGCGTGTCCAGCTCGACGTCGTCGCGCGGCGGCGGTCGCTGCCGACCGTACAGCTCTTGCATGGCTCGGAACGCGAGCTGGTCGACCTGCGCTGGCGTCGCGGCTTCGTGGTCGTCGGCGTCGTCGTCAAAGTCGTCGCTGCCCGAATCGTCGTCGTCGTCGTCGTCGTCACCGTCGTTGTTGGAACCGGCGCGCAGGAGCATGTCTCGTATCGTTGTTAGCATTGCGTCCGGCAACGTCCGTGGCGGCGTCGGGTCGCGCACGTTGACGAGTGCCACGTCATAGGCACCGCTGTCGACGAGCGCCTGCACGAACGCAGCGTCCCGGTCCCGGAGATGGGCAAAGTCCAATGCATCGTCGTTGGTCGTGGGCTGGATGCGGTATGCAAACGTGGTGGGCACCTGGTTCGGGCGAGCCGCGAGCGCTGCGAGCGTGGCGGGCAGCGACGCCGGGACCGCCGGCGCCGTGCGGTAAGTGTGCGGTAAGACATAGGAGAGGTCGTACACGAGGTAGGCGCGCCGACCGTCCACGATGGGCGCCACGTCAACGGTGCAGTCGCCATACCACGCAGCGTAGCTCAAGCCCGCGCCCGGCGTCCAGGTCATCGTACTCGTCTCGGGCCCGGCCGAGATCGTGATCGTCCGCGCGTGCGGCGACGGCAGCGCGACGACAAGCGTGCCCATGGTGCTGGGGCCGAGGAATAGCTCGTCTGTGCACGAGAAAATGGGCGGTGCGCCGACGCCGTCGATCGCGAGGTGCGTCAGGTGCGGCTCAATGTCGCCGGCCGGCTTGAGCGCCGCCGCAATCGCCGTCGAGAGGCCATAGATGAGATCACTCCAGATACGGCTCTCCGAGTACGTCGTATGGTCAAACTGCACGAGGTGCACGCCCACGAGGCCCGACCCGTTGGGCGCTGCGTGGTGCGCGACGACGTCCTCGGCGTTGGCGGGCCAGCTCCACCAGTCGCCGGCGAGGAGGCCATCGATGCGGATCGCCGGCGTCGTCGTCTGGTCATGCAGGTCGGCTGCATGGAAGAAGGACCCGGCGTCGTCGAGCTGCTCGATGGCCTTGGCGTACGCGACCTTGAGCGCGCGGAGCGACGCTTCCGCCTTGCGCGGTAGGCCAACCATGGACGATCGAGTTTGATTGCGGATGCGTTCCATGCCCACGCGGTTCAAGTTCCGGTTTGTATTAAGCTTTTCATTTGTATGGAAGGGCGTGTGGATGCGCATCGAATCCAGAGTGCGCGCGTGTACAAACAGCATCGCCCGGACGCATACCAACCATATGGACTAGCGAACCGCACGTCAAAATGCAGAAAGGGCGGGCGTTGGCGCATGGTCGACCCTCGTAAGCTGACAATGCTAGAGGCATTGCAGCGCTCAGTGACGCCACCTGCGGCGAGCCCCGAGTTGACTGCATCCAGCTCAAACTCCAACGCTCCGGCGTTGGCGGCAACTCGTCCAACCTTGGAGAAATACCGCCTTGTCCTCCTCGGACACCACTCAAAATATGCACGCGATGCAGCTCTACAACGTGCGCCATGACAGATTGTACATGACAAAACAAGGTCTATTCACCCTTGACGACAACAACCGGTACCGTATCCTGACCACGCGACGTGCGCTTCAAGCTTGCAAGAAAACGACCAACACCATCGCCATGGATCCACGTGAGAACAAAGTTAATAATCGTAATCCTGGTACATCGACGCCAGCTTGGCCTCGTCGGCGGCTGCGTCATTCTCCTCCGGCATCGCTTCGTCCAGGAGGCGCTGCAGATGCGCTTTGAGGCCCGCGCTCCTCACCTTGCCGAGCCACGTTCGCAGTTGCCTGGCAGAGTCGGTGGCGTCAACCGACAAGAAATGCACAATGAGTGTCGCAAGGCCCCAGTCGGCGACGCCCGACCGGAAGAGCACTCGTTGCTCCAAGCCCCGAGACGCGGCTTGTACATACGAGGTCGTCGCGCCGGTCGCCAAAAGCGCTTCCGTGATCGACTCGATCGCAGTGCCGACGTGGATGTGTCGGCACGTGGCTGCCGTTGCTTGGGCAATCATCTCGGTTTTAAGAGCCAAAAGCATGGACGCGGTCAAGGCGTACGCCTGTCGATCGAGCCATTCGACGAGAAAGACGAGGTTGTCGAGATGGTCGGTCGGGTGCAGGCAGTACGGCAAGAGGACGTTCATCATGTCAAAGCTCCGACGATCCATGTGCTCGACAGCAACACGTCGCGGCTGCCCGACGCCAGCGTCGAGGAGAAAGGCGGTCGCGCTGGCCGGCGACGCGCTGTTGCGTACAATCAACTCGAGCAAGGCATCGCACCGGAGCTCTGGCCGTTGCGCCCAGAGGTCTCGTACCACGTCAAAGTCTTCGTTCCAAAGCGCCGTCTCGATGGCATCGAACGCATCATCATGGTACCGAGACATGGCACGTGGCGCGGCGTGCTGCTGGGCGGCGGCTGGCGCGTGAAGAAAGTAATACTGCGTCACGTCGTCGCTGCCATACTGTCGCACCTCTTTGGCCCACGACGACGGCAGCGCGACGCCTTGCGCAACGTAGAGCTGCAGCAGCGCGAGGGCACTTGGCTTGCGTATCGCCCGCAGGACGCTCATACCGCTCGTGGCCGGGAGCGGGTACCCGGCTGCGACAAGCCGCTGGACGAGCGCAATGTGACCGCTCTCCAGTGCGCCGCGCGCGGCACCGTCGCGGCTGCCGCCTTCGAGTCGATGCGCCAAGAGGTACTCGACGACATCAAAGTGTCCATGCCTTGCGGCGTCGTCAACGGCAGCCGTCGTGCACGCAAAGCGCCCGAGCTTGTCCAGATAAGCAAGAATGTCGAGGTGACCGTTGGCAGCCGCGGTGTCCAGAATGTCTGGTGAAGCACCCTCGTCACGATGGGCCACGAGATACTCAACGACCTTTAGGTGCCCCGCCGCCGCTGCGCCACTGAGCGCAGCCGTCGTGCAGCCCTCGGTTCGCTTCTCGTGCAAGAAGGTAACAACGTCCAGATGGCCGTTGGCGGCGGCGTCGTCCATGGCGTCGGTTGTGCAGCCTTCGGTTCGCTTCTCGTGCAAGAAGGTAACAACGTCCAGATGGCCGTTGGCGGCGGCGTCGTCCATGGCGTCGGTTGTGCAGCCTTCGGTTCGCTTCTCGTGCAAGAAGGTAACAACGTCTAGATGATCGTTGGCGGCCGCCCGGTCCATGGCATCCGTCGAGCAGCCTTCGGTTCGCTTCTCGTGTAAGAAGGTGACAGCGTCCAGGTGGCCGTTGGCGGCGGCGTCGTCCATGGCGTCGGTTGTGCACGCAAGGCTCATCGCGTCCAACTGCTGGACTAGAGACAAATGGCCTTTCCCAGCCACCGCGTCCAAGAGGCCACGTAGCGCCGCATGATGCAGATGCGCGATCAAAACACAAGTGCTTTCCATGATTTGAGCTCGAGCGCGGTATGGACGAGGCTGTTGTCGTCCCAGTCGCATTGTCGGTGGGCCCAGAGCATCGCCAAAATCGATGCGTCGTTCTTATAGAGCGTCGAGCGGCTCGACGGCAGCCAGTCGTCGAGACGTCGCGACGGTCGGCGCTGGAACGCGTCTTCAAAGTTGCGATAAAGCTCCTGCACACCGTGCGCGTCGCGCTGGTCCAAGAGAAACGCAGCAATCTCGAGCTTGTTGTGTTGAATCGCCGCTTCGATGGCTTCTTGGTACGCGAGGTCCGGTCGGCAGCGCAGGATGCTTTTGGTCGCCGCCACGTCGCCTTCGAGGATCGCCAAGTGCAGCGGGAAGCGAGAATCGCGTGTGTTGTGCAAATTCAGGCACAGCGTCTCGGTGCTGAGCACATCCGGCGGCGTCTCTGGGTCGTACGGGTGGCGGTACGAGGTGCGGAAGAGCTCCGGGTCGAGACAGTAGATGCCCTCGTACATGCCCTGCGTCTGTTCAAAATCCACGTGCAAGTGAAAGTCGCGGAACCGAGATGCGACGTTCGCGTAGACGCCCGATTGGTAGCCAGAAACGACGGCGAATAGCTCGGGCTGGCGCAGCAACGCGTCGAGAAAGGTTGCCATGCGAGACTCTTTTTTGGCAGTTTGCCGTTTGATCGACAATCCCCCACACCAAATTGTTTTAATTAGTGTTATATATATAATAGTGTTGTGTCCAAGCGTTACGCGCACCATTTGCACGCATGGACGATGTGAAACTAGCGCATTTGGTGATGATGGCTGGTAGCGACACCTTTTTAAAGCGGGCTACGACGACCCACGGCGAGAAAGTAAGAGAAGTGTTCTTATGTCCCTGACCCACGGTTTCCTGACGGCAGCACACACGTTGGTTTTGAAATGACATGTCTCCCAGTGTTGGAGGTGGTGGAGGGTTAACCCTCCTCGGACGGACTGGCCGCGTATAGACTCGTGCGCCCTATGCGATGAGAAGCAACAATGAGAGCAGACACCTTGTTGCGCAGGTGGATGCAACGCCAACGGTATATGCATCTGCGCCGTGCCCACGGCAGCAAATTGGCTCTCCATGAGAGCTATGGCCCGCTTGGAAAAGCAAGGCCGTAACATGTACTATGTATGGTCTTGGTAAAAGTTAGTCCTCGAACGCATGGCTCGTCCAAAGCGACAGGGCAGCACGCTGCGTCGCCTTTGCAAGCCACTCGCCTTTACACCTCGCAAGACTGCAACGCTGAATGTTCATTTGAAAAAAGGAAGATGAGCCTCTACGGACTGACACACAAGCAAGCGGTGGCTGCCGAGCGTGCCGCCGCCGCCGACGCCGCCTTCCGAGCAGCCCACCCCGTCTTGTTCGCGACCGAAGTCGCCCGCGCCGCCGCCCGTGCAACGACCCATCCGAGTCCCCCCACCGCACCGTCCCTTCCCGCAGCAGCCAAGGCAACCAAGCAAACGACCAAGGTCTCGACATCTCGAGCACCCAAGCTCGTGGTGAAGCCACCGGTCCCGACGCAGTTGCGACGACGACCCGCTCGTCTGGACGAGCCGGCCACCAAGTTGGTCCGTCGAGAGCGATCCAGCGAGCATAACTAAATAGCTTTCCTTGCCGAATCGATGGGTACCAATCACACAATAATATCAACAAAATGCGTTATGAATACCAAGCAACAGTACTGCAATCATCATCTTAGCGCCCATTCACGATGCGCGCTTCCGGCATGCGCTGCACGAGCTTCTCGACCGCCGTCGCGGCGACCAGCAGCCGCGGGTCGTCGGGCGACCGGTCGCAGAGTGCAAGCAGCGTCTGCACGCAGCGGTTCTCGTTGGCAAAGCGCACTGCATTGCGTACATCGCGCGACCGATCGAGCGGGGCGGTACCGTGGAAGCCGAGCGCGGTGGCCATCTCCATCCACGCGTCGCGAAAGAGCTGACCGAGGACCGGCAGGTGGAGCGCATGAATCCCTTCGATCTCATCCCGGAGCGTCCGCATCCAGTCGGTGTAGTCGTCGGCAAAGTTGCCACTTGGCAACTCGAGCCGCGTCACGCGCTCGCACGCCATCGTTTTTGGCATCGACGCCAACGACGGCAGCGACCGTGGCTTCTTGCTCTTCTTGGACGTCGACAACTGCACGCCGTCGACCGATGCCGTGACCGTATCCATGTCGTCGCCAAGCAGCTGGGCGGCCGTCGCGGCATCCCAGCCATACGACCGCAAGTGGGCCGATGCGAAATCTGCGGCTGGGCGACCATCAACAAACACTTGCGGGAACGCCGTGGCAAGCATCTCCATCTCGGTGCTCACGGCGATTTTGCCGCGACGATAGAGCGCATGGTAGAGGTGCAGTAGCATGTGTGTCTGGCCAATGTCGTCCATCGTCGAAAGACCGAGAACGTAGCCCATCTCGAGACGCATGAGCAGCATCATTTGACCGGTTGCCATGTACGGGTTGTACCACGCGCGATCTTGCTCCATCGCACTAAAGACCTTGCTCGGGGCCGCGAGTTGTTGGCGGTAGGCGAGCCAGTTGCGCGCCGCGTCGACGTGGCGAGACGGGCGACATTGATCCCGACGCTCGACCGGCCTTGCGTCGTGTAGAAGAGACTCCAGAGCATCGCTTGGCACGCAAAGCCCAAGCTCACCGGAAGTTGCTGCGTCTGCACGTAGACTGTCAAGAGCCGTCGCAGCGGCGCCAGCTCGTTGTCGTACACAAGGCCGTTGGGCATAAAACCGGCTTTGGCGTCGAGGAGCAGTGGCGGCAGGACGTCGGCAAAAAACGACTGGTACAAATCCGTCGTGCACCGCAGCACCGAGTCGCCTTCGACCCACGGCGGGCCAAACGTATCCGGGTACGTGACCGCGCGCGTCCCAGGTTCACGGAGCGCATGCACGATGAACGTCTTGAGGTACGCATGGAGCGCGGTGATGCCGTCGCCTTTGCCGAGCGTCGTCGTCCAGTCCATGTTCCAGTCGTCGTCGCCTGAGCTGCGCGACGATGCGGTCGATGAGGCGACCAGCAATCAATGCCGACGTCGACAACGCCTTTGTCATGACTTGGATCGAGAGCGGTTTGAGGCGCTCGATGGCCGCGCGGCGAGCGACCATGAGCATGCCCGCTGCCTTGTCGACCGACACGTTGTGGCTACAGACTATCTCGACGATGAAGCGGCCGCAGCGCAGCGTGGCCATGATCGCTTCCACATCCGAGAGGTGTGGGTACACCTCGCGCAGCTCGGTATGGAGCACTTCGACGGCGTAGACGCCGGCGTTGGTAATCGCCGCGGGCACGCTCGCGCACATGGCCGACTCCTTGTGCATGATCCAGCCGAGCTTGGCATCGTGCATGAGATCGGCCATGTCCAAGACGAAGCACATGCACGCGAATTGCATCTCGCGGCGCTGCGCGTCGAGGCTCGCGAGGCGCGGGTCCTGGTCGTCGACTGGCAATGGAAACGCGTCGACGTCGAACGGCGGAAAGTAGTCGCGCTGGCCCACGTCGTCGCGGTCCCGGCGGCCCGTGCGCATGTCCTTTAAGGGCCCTACCAGCGTCTTGAGGTCGTCCGTGATCGGCAGCCACTTTATCAAGACGGCGCGGAGCACATCGACGTAGGCGCCATGGCCATCGCGCTGGTCGGCCGGTAGCTTGATATACGCGTCAAACCGGAGGCGAATGACGACCATGAGGTCGCGCAGGATGCTCGATGGCACGGTCGTGCCGGCGTCGACGACCTCGAGCGCAGCCGCGTAGATCTGCGCCATCGTCCATGCAGCCGTGTCGGCCGACCGTGCGCCCTTCTTCTTGACCTTCTTCGTAGCGTTCTTACTCTTGGGCTTGGTCGCCCGGTGCAGCCACTCGAGGACCGCGTTGGTCGCGGCCGTGCAGCGGCGCCAGCGCCCGGCGTAGCTGTGGGGCTCCATGTCGCCGCACGTTCGAAAATCCTTCGTGGCGATCTTCCACCCAGTCAACTAGGATATATCCTGGGGCATCAAAAACAGGATATTATGACCGATTTGAAGTCCCCAACGCAATACCAGTGTCCCATCGGTACGGGCGAAGGCCAAGGCCGGCATCAACAAGCTACCATCGTCATCGTCGAAGCAAGCGAGCGACAGGTTGGACGCTTTAGGGTGAGGGGCCTCAGCGCAGCATCCATCACGGACTTGACGATCACGACGCTCTGCGATCCAGCCACACTCTCCTGCGTCACGAGGTACTTCACTTGGAATCGTGTGTCTCTAGATGGGATGTCGTAGCGTTACGGTAGCAATGTCAATGACGTGGCGGCATGAGCGCGCTGCATTGTTGGATGAAACCGTACACCGATTCGACATCTAGCACGTGGCCTCCGATACCAGTGTCTCTGTTTCCGTCAACCACAGCTTGCTTCAGATGCGAGTGTTTTGGATGAATGCGAGCAGAGGAAGACGCGAGGACAAGCGGCAATGATCGCGTCTAACGATGCCTGCCAACGCAGCACGTCAATTAGGGTTGGGGGACATGGCAAGCGGACGGTTCTGTTTTTGTGTCTTAGTAGAGTCCATTGGTACTTGGCAGGCGTTTACGTACAATTGTAGTACGAGAGAACCTCGGCGACACCATGTTTAAGGTGCGAATGTGCGCGCAATCGTGGCTGCAACTCGCAAAGGCGCTAAACTTGCACACGACTACCTACAGGCGCTCGACGACTTGAAAGTGCGCGTGGGCGTCGTGGAGATGGCCAAAGATGACTCTGTCATCCAGTATTACCTTGCTTGCGATTTGACGTGCGAAGAGAGAACCAGAGTTGACGACAACACAAGTTTTCATACGCTGCATACGAGCTCCTTCGGCTCCACGGCTCGAGCTTCTTCGGCTCCACGGCTCGAGCGTCTTCGGCTCCACGGCTCGAGCTTCTTCGGCTCCACGGCTCGAGCGGGTCAGCATCGATCAATGCTTCACGTCATGTGCGAAATCACTAACTCGGAGTACACGAGCATCAAACTACAACATACTACCGGTACAAAAAACTTGACTTTTTAAACATAAAACACGGGACCAAAACTACACTGCGCCGTCGTTTTTGAAAGCGTCGGCGCAAATCGGCTACACGGCGCCGTAGACGGTCGGCGGTGCACGGCTCTGCAGCACGATGCGCTTCGTCGTCTTGGCGCCTTTGCTCGACGCCGCCGTGTTGACAGAGATGACGAGCATGGTCGCGGCGATCACAATCGCACTGCCGACACATGTGAGCACCCCCGGGATGGACGCGACGCCAACGAGGATCCCCAATGCCGTCGCCAGAATCGGCTCCATGAGCATAATGATCGAGACGACGAGCGGGTCGAAATAGGCCATGACACGAATGTAGCCCATGCCACCGACAAAGTCGCAGATCAGCACGACGAACGCTTCGAGGCCGACGCGGTCCCAGCGCAGATTGGCCCAGCCGAAGAGACCGGTATTGACATCGCGCGAGAGACTGTACTCTTCGCCGAGCAGCGTCAGTGTCGGCAACAGCAGCAGCGACACCAATAGCGTATGGCAGAGCATGAAGGGCAAGAGGCCAAGGCGCGTTCGAAGTGTCTTGGCTTGGAGAAGGTACACGACCGCCCCCAGAGCACCGAGAAACGCGCCAAGATCGCCCAGAAGCGACGCTTCGACAATGCCCGAGTGGGCGACTACCGGTGCTTGGTCCAAGGCCGTGAGAACGCTGCCGCCAATGCCTGCCACCGTCCCGAGGATCTCGTATAGCACGATCGCGTCGCAGTAGAGAGCCCGCCACACGACAAGCAACAGCGAGTGGCAGTTGTTGAGCAAGTAGACGTGGCCGACAGACGTCCTTGCGAGTGCCCAATTGAACGACGCATTCCAGATCGTGTACCCGACGGCGCACAGCACCAGTCGTCGAACCGTGTCACGATCGAACGAGAGCGCGGACGACGATCGGTGAAGCATGCGCTGGCCGAGGACGAGGAGAAGCAAGAGTGCACAACTGCCGCTGGTCTTCCAGAAGAGCTTCAGCACGGGCTCGGCGCCGCGTTCGAGGTCAAACGCGACACCAAGCGACGAAATCGCCACAAAGCTGGAGAGAAGGACCGTGTAGCCGACGCAGCGAGAGGTGGACGGTGACGTCGTCGTCGTTGTGGTCGTCGACATGGTGGGTTGTAGGATGCAGCAGATTGGACTCTGAGCGCCATCGATCCATGCTGGGCTGTAGTATCGGACGAAGATGCCATGGGACTGAGACCAGATGGTCGAATCTCGCGCGTGAATCTGGTGGCGCGGTTTATACTCGCGCTGCGGACATGTGATTGGCTGTTGGAGCGTATGACGCCACTTTTGGACCAATCAGACACGTCGATCACTTTCGAAACCGATCGGCATAATTTGTCGCCTTCTCGATGATGGCAGCGACTGAGAGAGGAATGCAAGCTACAGGACGACGGGGGCATTATCGATCTCTGCAGTAAGTAGGTCATCGTGCGACCGTACGCTGGAGTAGCACTCGAATGGAGAGTGCTGCTAGCATGAAAACAGCTGTCGGCGAGCGACATACACATTTGTGTACGATCCATTCAAAACACAATCAAACTGCATATCAAACTGTACACCTGCGCTTGGACCATTCATTTCCGTACTTGAATCCGAGTCAAATTTATCTGAAAAATCCGACCAAGTCGAAATCGGACCGGAAGGGGTTCCGTTGGCATGCCCTGTGATGCGTATGATGATGGTGATTGCAAAGACACCACTGCAATCAGTGCGCTGCGATCGCCGTCGCCAACGCACCACAGGACATGCCACCGGGACCCCTCTCGGTCTGATTTCGACTTGCTTGAATTTTTCCAGATATATCAACTTGGATTGAATGACTGACTCATCGTCCATTTCCAGCTTTGCACGACGTCGTTATCGAATAGAAGAACGCCACAACGCCGCGGTGGCAACGCCTGGCCGTTCATCGAGAGCCGATTTGCAGTCCACCGCGAAACGTACTACACCACCCTAATCGTTTCTGTCTCGGTCCTCGCTCAAGGGGGCATACTACAAGTAAGAGCGTAACTCATTCGCTCAGCAGTCGAACGCTAGAGCGGTGAGACCGAGCTGCTGGCGGCGGCATTGGCTGTCTCTCTATCTATCTATCTATCTATCTATCTATCTATCTATCTATCTATCTATCTATCTATCTATCGATCGATCAATCGATCCTAAATCGGATGCTGCATTGGAGGACGCAGGTGTTCACGCGACGTTAGGTCAATCAGTAGTATACACACACAAAAGGCGACTTAGAGCAACACGGCGGCGGCCTTGCGCTTGAGCGGGCCCTCGTCGGCGGTAGGCTTGGCCGTGCGTGGCAGTGTCGCGAGGTACTCGATGCACTGGCGGCTTGCACTCGTCGTCGCTTGCTGCAACGTCGCCTCGAGATAGCGCGACGCGCGCGGTTGGCCGCACAACCAGCGAAGGATGTCGAGTTGGTCCTTGTCGGCCGCGGCCAGCATGGCTTTGGAAGGCGTGCTTTCTTTTCGGTGTGCCAAGAGAAACTGAACGAGGTCCAAATTGCCACTCGCGACAGCCAACGCGATCGTGTTCTTGTCAAAGCCGTCATAGTCGTGCTCGTGAAAGAACCGAATCACGTTGAGGTGGCCCTTCTCGGCCGCGCTGTCAAGGTCCTCAGGACCACACGCGGCGCGCGCCTTCTCATGCAGGAACTGCACAACGTGGAGCTGACCATACTTGCTCGCATGACGCCATGCGGGACCCATCTCGAAGCCGAGGTTGAGCAGAAATTGGAGGAGCTCGAGATGAGACACCGCAGCGGCGTCCCGCACCACGTGGAAGTACGCGATGCGGACCTTTGCCTCGCTCTGCGATCGAGAACACATGGGGTGGCGTGCACAGTCGAGCGCCAAGCTGAGACACCCGTTGCCCTCGGCGTCGCACTTTCGGTTTGAGCCAGTTCAGAATCGCCACGTTGCCATACGAGACCGCGTACGCAAAGAGGTGTGGCCGGCAGAGATCGCCGAGCTTGGCGACGCCGTGGCGAGCGAACCACACGCGAAAGGCCGCGTCGTACATCGCATAGTCCAGTTTGGAAGGCATTGCACGGTTGCTCGCGCAGTAGATCCGAAAATGCTTGCAGCGATGGTTTATGGCGAGCGTGGCGCCATCCACGCCGTCTTGGTAGGATGCAATGCTCGTCACGAGGCGCTTGGACTGAAACACCAACCGGATTCGCTGCATCGCCACGTGTCGGCTCCACGCGTCACTCAAGCAGTGGATGATGTCGATAGGCGCGCAGTGGTAGATGGCCATGGCCCGCGTCGCCTTGAAGAACGCCCGGGCGTCGCGCTGCGTGCAGAGCCAGCGCAGAATGTCAAGACGGCGATGCTTAACAGATTCTTGGAGCGCATGCTCCATTAAGAGGTCTGGCGACGGACCAAGGCCGAAGAGCTCTAGAAGAGTACCCAGCTGGTTGTGCGTGATGGCGAGCGCGATGGTTTCCCGATTAATACCACTGGGGCGGCGTCGGCCAAGGAAGCGCAGTAGCTCAAAATGGCCGTTCGCTGCGGCGACGTTGATATAGACATCGTCCCACACATCGAGTTGCTTGGAGCTCACGACGTACTCGGCGACGTCAACATGGCCGCCCGCGCACACCGCCTTCCAAATCTCGTTGGTGGTCAACCCCATGGCAAGAAGTTTGAACAGACACTGGCGTTGGCCCTTGGCGGCTGCCCGAGCGACCACGTTGCGACTGCGCATCTTCATGGCCGGACCAAGATCCTCGACGGCCCGCGGACACGTCGGACAGCCGCGGGCGTCGAGCACGAGAAGCTCTCTCGTCCACGTCACGAGCTCGCGGTCGATGAGCCACTGAAGGACAATGGCATCACCGCAAGCAGTCGCATACGCAAAGAGGTGTGGCACGCAGAGCGACGGGAGGCCGTTCAGGCCGTGGGTTGTGAACCACGTGGTGAAGCGCCGGCGGTCGCGTGCATGGTCGTCGTCGTCGTCGTCGTCGTTGTCGTCGTACGCGTACGTGTCGGCGCTGCGCAAGCGGACGCTCCAGCAGCGCAGCGGGAGGTCCTGCGGCGCTGCGGATGCGTGCATGTGGAAGGCGCAGATGCGTTGGAGCAAGCTCGGCGCGCGGAGGACGTCGGCCGCGACGCTGCCCATGCGACCGTCGAAAAATATGCGATGGGAATTACGTTGAGGGAAACAATCCTGGACATCTGATTGGCTGAAATCAGCCATGACGTGGCATCATGGCGGGCGGGGGTATTTCGGTCAAAGCATCCGCATCCACGCGACGGTTGCGCTTACGCTCGTGGCGCTGGCAGCCGCCGAGACAACCGCGACGTGGGGCGACAGTGGCAACCTCTGGAACCACGACGGCGGCAACTTCTGGGACTATTGGAACAGCTGGCAGCATCCTCAGCCCACCAAGACGCCGTGCCCGCAGCCGACGCCGACGTTCCGCCCTACAACGCAGCCTTGCACGACCTGACCGTCGAGCACCAAGCCTTGTACGACCCAGCCGTCGAGCACGAAGCCTTGCACGACCCAGTCGTCGAGGTCTACTCCGACGACGAGCGGCCCAACACCGACCTCGACGCCTGCCACGACGACGAGTGTCCCGACGCCTGCGCCTAGCACGACTTCGCCGTCGACGCCTGCTTCGACGACGAGCGGCCCGACGCCGACGTCGACGCCTAGCACGTCGAAGCCGTACACGTCGAAGCCGTTCACGTCGGCGCCTGCCCCCACGCCAAGTGTCCCGTCGACCACGAAGCCTTTCGACTACCTCCCCGTCGACCACAAAGTCTTGCACGGCATCCTGGTGACGACCAAGCCCTGCACGACCCAACCGTCGACGCGTCCTTGCACTTCTGCGCCTTCGACGACAAAGCCGACGCCGGCGCCCACGATGCCCTACGGTGTGCACCAGCGTAATCTTGTCGAGGATGCGGAGCGCGTTGTAGAGGTGCAGCAGGTGGCGCGTCTGGCCAATGTCGTCCATCGTCGCAAGGCCCATGTCGAGGCCAATGAGCATCGAGATCATGAGCAGATTCCGCCCGGCCATGTACGGTCCATCTCAAACGGCGCAAAGCTGTTGGACGGCGCGGACGCGAGCATGCGATGCGTGAGCCATCCGAGTGCATTGTCAATGTTGATCGGAACATACGGCTGCACATAGAGGCCATCCCCGTTCTTGCGGCAGCGCTCGAGCTGGAACGAGAGCCGAGCGAGTGCAATCGACGTCGACTTCGCGACTTTGGCACACGAAATGGCCTTGGACAGTGACCCTTGCGTGTACAGAATGCTCCATAAGAGCGACTGGCACGCCAAGAGAAACGAGGCCGTCAGCGTATGGACGTACTCGTGCACGAGGTTCGGGAATGGCATCATGCCGGCTTCGAGCTCCAACCACGCATCGGCGCCGTCCTGGAGCGCGTGCGAAATGAACGTCGGCAGGATGTTGGCAAAAAACGTCTGGTAGAGCTCGGACGTGTTGGACACCCGCCACTCGGACTCGTTCCAGGGCCGCCCAAATGCCATCGGGTCGACGGCGATGCGCTCGTTGGGCTGGAGCTGCGTGATCGTGATGAACTCGCGGAGGTCGGCGTGGAGCGCGCTTCCCGAGACAAGTCGTCCAGTCGAGGTTCCTGAACGTCCCGACGTCCATTTGCGCTTGGATGCGTGCGACGAGCGGCTCGACCATTACAGTAAGAGCGTCGTGTGCAGCTCGTGCACCAAGATGCCGAGCGCGGTGCGGCGAAGCGTCGGCGTCTGGACGCGCCGCGCGACCATGAGCAGCCCCGCGGCCGTGTTGAACGAGACGGCGTGGCGCGTCACCATCTCGAGGAGCGCGTCACCGCACATGAGCAGCGCGAGGATGTGCTCCATGTCTTGCAGATACGGACGGTTGGTGCACAGAGCTTGGAAGAGCATCTCGACGTCGCGCAGCACGGCGTTGGTCACTGCCGTGGGCACGCACACGTTGAGGATACCGCGCTTCTTGTGCGCCTGCCATGCGTGCTGGACGTCGCCCATGCGCCTGTCCACGTCCAAGAGAAAGCACATGCACGCGAACTGCTCATTGACCAAGCGCATCTCGAGCGCATCCAGTGGCGCCACGACGTACGTGGCGACGTCATACGGGCCGTCGAGAACACTGTAGATGGTATCGACGAGCGGCCTAAACGCAGCAAACATGGCACGGAGGAGGTCGAAATACGCGACGTGGCGAGCGTCGAGAGGCGGGAACTAGGAGACCGTATCCGGACATGCGCTAATTAGGCTGAAATGGCTTCACATCCAGGACAGCCGTCCTGGTTGTAGAGCGAATCGCGTATGATCGAGTCGGCAGCATCCCAACAACGAGCAAGCTTTCAACTTGGGAAGGTTCTCCGAGGCGGTGGCCTTCGGACCAGCCGTTTTTACCTCTCGCTTCTCCGCACTGAGGGCACCGCTGCAGACAATATCGACTTGTGACTACTAGTACCGCCAAGGGTCTAGAAAGTGTTGATTGCTCTCCCTGCGACGTTGGTACCAGCACCAAGCGCCAGTGTGTCTAGTAGAGACTCGCTACTGTACACGACGACGACGACGACGACGTGCAAGGCGTCGATGCGATGTGTCTGGCTCTAGTACGGCAGAGGCGCATCCCAGACCGTCGCCGCCAGCGCGTTGATCGACGCTTGGGTTGTATAGCAAGGCCAAACATATCCTTGGCAGACATATTGTACAACTTGCGTGGTAGCTTCACGAGCCGCAACCTGCGAAACCGCTGCATAAAAGACAGGCAACTCGATGCTGTCCACTTGATAAATTGACATTCTGGACCAAAAAAGCGTTTCCATTGGGCGACAAGAGGCCGTCCGAAGCAAAAGCGTCTCGCACGCGATTGGTGGAGCCGCTGGACAGGACAGCGCTGGACGATCGCGGCGTGTCGCAGCTGTTGCCGTTGGTACACTTGGCAATTGTATGGCCCCATTTCGCCACTTCCACCACCTGCAGTTTGGCCACGCAATAATGCAACGTCCGTCCAAGTGGCCCAGCGTCGGTCCCCGCGTGCTTCTGCCCGCCTGCATTCTCCTTGTACTCGTCGTCAACGTGGTCGTCTTCGTACAATGGACGACATCGACGTCGACGCCGGTCCACCCGCGCTTCAAGCGCCGCTACGGCGAAGCCGACGGCCCGGCACTGCCATCACTCCCTGGCAACGCAACGTGCTGGTTTGACGACCCTAAGGTCAAGCGCGTGCCCACGCCCGACCTCGAACACCTCAGTTTGCTGCAGACTGCGTGCGTGGCCGAGGCCGACGACATCATCACGTGGCGCTATGGCGCCAACGCCACGACCGCGCAACCGACGCGGCTGCGGCGCGACGACCCGGGCGTGCTCGACGAGCTCCGGCGGTGCCCGGACATTGATATTTTTCTACCCAGCGGGCTGCGCGGCTCGGGCTACTGCGAAGACGGCGTCGCGTACACCAAGTGTACGCTCGATCGATGGTTCTTAAGCGACGACCTCTCTCATTGCTTTGTGTGTAGATGGCGCATCGCGCTTGCTGCCGCTGTGGGCACTCGAAGACGAGTATTTCGATGTGCAGCGCAACGCCAAAGTGACGTACTTTGACTTGTGTCCAGGGACACCTGTGATTTTTTTCAACCACTACTGGCCGCCATGGACCTGGCCGCGCACCAAGCCGATCTACCTCATGCCGAACATCGAGATGGGCGAGCTGCAGTCGGCGCAGTACTGGCGCGCCTCGGTCGTCATCTGCAAGACGCGCGACTGCTACCACCGCGTCTCGACGTGGTACGAACAGCACGGGAGCCCGACCGGCGCCGCCGTCGTGTACAGTCGCCACACGTCGACGGATATTGCCGGTCACATTACGCGCCTCCTTGGCGCCGACGTGCGGCCCAAGGACTTTGAAAATGTCCGGTTCACGCACTCGGCCGGTGGCAGCGTGAGCAAGGGCACAGACCAGGTTCTCGGGTGCTGGTTGTCGCGGCCCGATTTGCCGCCGCTTGACCTCTCGATGAGCGAACACCTCTACAACATGGGCTACAGCAAGTACGAAGCCGCGATCGCTGCCAGCGGCAACATCCATTTTGACCGCATCAAGCTCGACGAGGTCGCCTTTGGCAAGCGGTTTGCCGAAGCGTCGTTCTTTCTCTGTGCAAGCCGCAAGGAAGGGTATGGCCACTACATCAACCAAGCCCGCGCCGCCGGAGGCGTCATCATCACAACGAACGGCCCGCCGATGAACGAGCTCGTGCAGGCGCCGATCAACGGCGTGTACGTCAAGACCGCGAGCTCTTACCATCCGGACCAGATGATGGGTGGCAATTTTAACGGTGATTTCGGGCTGCGCGGCTTTGGCGGTCTCGAGGCCGACTACTCGGCCGGCGACCTCTGCGCCGCGGTCGACCACGTTCTGGAGCTCTCGACGTTTGAGCGACAGCGCATGGGGACGGCCGCCCAGCAGGCATACCACGACGACACCAAGTACTTTGCCGCCGCCATGCGCAACCTCCGCGCGATCGCACGTGCCCAGTTGGCCTCGAACTTGACGGCCGCCGACGTCGTGGCGAGTGGCAATTGGCAGCAGACAGCATTGCAGGACTTTTCGTGTCGTACTGTCTAATCCAATTTTAGTCTACTTTATCTCGATGGGCGTATTGTCTGAACGTCACAAGTCGATATTCGACGCCGTCGTTGTCATATAGTATGGAAACCTGCGATCGCACGCTATAAAGTACCGGGGACACTCGATTTTCCTATCCATTGGGATGGGAGCGAGCGAACTGTGGAGCCCACCGGCACCCCGTTCAGCTTTCCCGATCATAGATAGCACCAAGCGAAACGAAAACAAGGTATTATACTGGAGTCTTAGACTAGTACTATTTTATTGTTTCAAAGGTTTGTTGCTCAAATCAACCCAGCAATGTGTGCTTACACAATTATGGTGCGACCAGGGGTACCTTCCTATTAAAAATGTTCTGTGTGAGACCCGATATGGCGGCTCGTAGAGTCTCTAGACACCACAACCCTGCATGAGCTTATAGATCGTGACAACCTTCTCGAGCATCGTGAACTGCTTCTTGTGCGTATTTATGAGGATCGCGAATCCGTAGCTCGCGTTGATCTTTACCTCCAAGCAGTTGGAAGGCGACAAGACCTTGGCGCACTACGACATAACCGATGGATCGATTCTGCACCTCGTGCTGCGGTTGAGAGGCGGTGACTACGCGGCTGCCTTCGTCGCTGTCGAGGATGAGGACGCGATGCGCACGGTCGCCTTTGCATCGTCGGCGCCATGCTGGCGGGCCGTCGCCCAAGGCCTCAACCTCCACGGCACGTGCTTGAACCGCGCCTGCGTCGCTTTCGAGAAGGAGGTCATTGCCCCGATCGGCCTTGAACCTTTCAACATCATTGCGCAACAAGCCTCGTGTCCCATGTGGAAGTGCGCGATTGCCGCCCGCACGTGCGGCTTTCACAACTGCGAGTGGCGTTTTAAAGGCGTCAAGGCCAAGGCGGGTGTGCACGTGGCGTCGGCGTGGGAGACGCGGCCAAGTCAAGACGCCTACAACCTATTTGACGACGACGACAGCAACATGGCGCTCTGGCGCAGCCTCGTCCTTGTCGTCCAGGCGCGCTCGTCGTCGCAGACGTGCGCGCTCTGCAAGGGCGATGCGGATGGAGAAAGAACGCCGTGTGGCCTCGTGCATCGGCGTTGTGTCCAGGTGTGGATTGACAGCTCGGCCACGCGACGCGCCATTGGCGCCACCTGCCCCGAGTGCCACGTGTCTATCGATTGATTGGTGTACGCGACGAATGTTGAGCAACCTTGTACTACGTGAATCCTTCTGTCGTGGGCACTTGTTCTTTAGCAAACTGCATCAGTGGCGGCCTGCTTCAGTGCTACGTTTTCGCCTCGGAGGCTCTCAACGCGAGGGCATCGACGAAACGAACCACAGGTTGTGGTATATATCAACAGCGCTCGACGGATCGACCATCGAATCGGGCGTGTGCTGTGCACACTTCTCATGAAGTACTCCGCGATGATCCCGCGTAGCTACCTATATGTACGCATTGCTAGGGTTGTACCGCAGCTGCCCGATTCCGAGCTACCACAACAGGAGCACCGACATGCTGTGCCTGCACAGGATAACTCGGCCCTAAATTCATCCGAACGTTTCCCATGCTTGATGCCACGTAGGAAGCAAGACCGCAACGACACACCGTGCGTACAATCATTCTTAGCTTTTAGGGTCGTGTCGCAGCAAGGTGTACCGGCGCATCGCCTGGTAGCCCAAGCGAGTCGCAACCGCACGAATGCTGCCGACGGCCACGAACCCAAGCATCTCGTGAAGCAACTGGACCGCATCGAGGTGTCCATTTGTCGCTGCGCTCAGAAGCATGCGTTCTTGCACGCGCAACGGAAGCGTCGACGTCAGCGGTCGACCGTACGTGTCGCCAATCAACCGCAGCAGCGCCAGGTCGCCCGTGGACGCCGCCGCAATGTACAAGCGGTACACGTCTTCTTCCGTCGGAGGCAGCGCAAAGACAGAGCTCCTCTCGCTCACGAGAAACGTGACGATGCTTCGATGGCCACGCTGCAGGGCGCGAACGAGGGTCTTGACATCGCATTGATACGTCGCGTCGTTTTGTGTGAGGTGCTCGACCACGCTCAAGTGCCCGTTCTCGATCGCGTAAAGCAGAGCACGCCGCGAGACAAGGTGACCAAACTTTTGCAGCTCACAAATAATGTTCAGGTGGCCTTGGGCGGCCGCGGCGTCGGCGGCCCGCCCCGTCACAAAGTCGCCGCGCTTGTCGAGGCGGTCGTCGTGTGGCGGGAGCGACGCGTTGACGTACTCGAGCGGTACGTCCTTGTCGTCTGACGGAGGGACCAGCGGTGCCAGATAGGTGGCCAGCGCCACATCGCCACGGTAAGCCGCCGTCGTCAGCGCAGCGTCGCACGTGTCGAGGTCATATCCATGCGCGACGAGCCATTGGACGACATGCAAGTGTCCTTGGGCCGCCGCGAGAACGAGCGCGTTGCGCGGACTCCCGTTTGAGCCGTTTTGCTTGGCTAGCCACTGCATCACGTGCAGGTGCCCGCGGTAGCTGGCGTGGGCCATGGCGCGCTCGGACACAGGAATACCCCGTTTGTTAAGGTGCTGCACCGTGACCAAGTCACCGTAATACGCAGCGAGGTCGAGCGAGGTCGTCCAGCGGTCCCGCTCGGGCACATCGTCCCGTGATGCCACATCGTCGAGCGCATCCAGCACAAAGCGGAGCATCGCCGCATCTTGGCGCGCGATCGCCATGTCCAGCATCGGCTTGGAGACGTGCAACTTGATTCGGACCGCATGCTGCAATCCTGTCTCTTGGGCGGTTCGGCTGGGCGTGATGGCTGACGCCAGCTCAAGCGCCTCTAGGAACTTGGTACCGACCACGCGACGGGTGCGGACGTGCCCGGGAAACGGAGCCGAGTACGTCAAATCTGCGTTCACGCCCTCGGTGCGGTGCACCAGAAGAAAACGAAGCGCGTCAGCGTGGCCGTGCATCAGAGCTGCCGTCGCTGCTGCCGTTGTGCATCCTTCTTTTCGGGCAGCGTGAAGGAACCGAACGACGTCGAGGTGGCCGTGCATGGCCGCACCGTCCATGGCTGCCGTCGAGCAGGCGGCGCCGCGCGCGTCGAGGTATTGAACAAGGGGTAGATCGCCCGACATGGCCACGAGGTCCATGACCTTGGGTGTCAGTAAATGGGAAAAGCTGCGAAGCAAAAGTTGCAATACGGACCCTTGGGACGCTGCGGCCGCGAGCTCAAGCGTAGCCGACGTACACAAGTGCGGTGTTGACGCGAGCCATTGACGCACGTGCGAGAGGTTGCCTTCGACAATGGAGAGGTGCAATGGCAGCGCCGGGTCAGCGGCGTAAGGCGACAGAAAAAGGGCGTCCGTCGAGAGCGTTGTCGTGGGCTGTGGGTAGAGACACAGGTACGGCAGGCTTGCAAAGCGGACTGGAACGTTGGTGATAACGCTTCGGACCGATTTGTGGGCGACGCGCCCGCTCGGTACGAGTCGAATGGTTTCCGCAAGCCGACAAATCTCCAACAGTGCCAATGACAGCCCGTCTTGGTAGGCAAGGATGCCGCCGAGAAGGTCTGGTGATACAAGCACGTTGACGGCGGCCATGAAGGAGAATGTTGGAGTATGGAGCAGTGGCTCCTAGTGCGCCCGCCGCCGGCACATCGTCATTGGTGTTGCGCATCCTGCTTGCCTATCATGGATTGCCGATACATGGGACCCAGGTTCGAACCTAGGTTCCTTGCACTTAGGATCAACTTGACGTGCTCTTTGTGGTGGCAATGCGGCCGTTCAAGCAACCTAGATACATTTAGTAATGACAGGTATGCCGTGGCTGCGTTTGAAGATTTGATGCGATGGACGGTTGGGTCGAGTCTACCGATGGTCCACCCATGTTGCGCAGTGTACAGACTACCTCTCGATATAAAGCGCTTTATACAAAAAGCAAGGGCCGTCTCCTGCGTGTACTAAGGTGTTGTGGACGCGACTGTCTTGTCGTTGCTAGAGCATGCAGCTCTCAGCCATTTTGCCCTACTCTCTCTCAAGAGCTCAACACATGTATTTTACTCTCAAATAGCTCTCAACCAAGAGTAATTTAATCTTGGTTTCAGTATACTATAGTAATAACCCTTGAGAGTAATTTAAGCAGGCTCATTGTATTGGGCATACAAAAATGGAATAAGAATAACTTGAGAGCTCGAGAGCTCAGGAGTAACGACGCCGTTTTATTGCCTAATTGTATGCAGTATACAGAAATGAAATGAGAGAAATCCGAGAGTTCAAGCGTTCGTTGAGAGCTTGACAGGAACACCAGCGAACACAACCCAAAGCAGCGTCGCCAAGGTGTCATGTCCCTCAAGATCCTGGACTCTGACAAGCACGGCAGCCTGCTTTTCATCAAGCGTAAGACCAGAGGTCGCAACGATCTTGCTCACGTGCAAAGCCTCGTGGTTCCGATTACCTCGAGAGACGACGGCACGCCCATCTGCGGGCACCGAAGAACCGGCCAAGATCCAGAAGGCCCGATCCAAGTACATGCAGCGCCTCTTTCAGCGCGATTCCATGTTGCAAGACCGCAAGGAGCTGAGTGCTTACGAGGCCATTGTTCAAGCCGAGGTTCGAGCGTACCTGCTCCAGGAAGGTGCAAGCGATGGTGACCCGCTGGCTTGGTGGCGCCTTCACCGTCACAAGTTTTTGAGCATCGCCAAGCTGGCTCGGAAATGGCTTGGCTGCTCAGCAACCTCGGCTCAACCGGAGCGCGTCTTCTCGGGTGCAGGAATAACCATGTCTGGCCGGCGTGCAGCGCAAGACCCCGACACAGTCAACGTTATCACTTTCCTCCACGATTCTGCACAGTAATACACGAGAAGGAGCGTTTTAAAGTTATACTTGGTGCGCACGTGGTCAAGTAGCGAGATTTCCCTTCCTTCGAGGACTCTGTGGAGCTTGCTCGCTCATCACAACGCAACGCAGCACTGTTTACACTGACCGGATAACTGTCCGGATAACTGAGAGCTCATTGAGCTCTCCTTACTCTCTCTCAGCTCTCAGCAACTCTTATTCTCTTCTCAGCTCTCAAACGCTGAGAGCTGCAATCTCTAGTCGTTGCTGGTTGGATGTGAGACAGACCGTGGCGGGATCGTCACTTGAAGTTGGGCGGCGATATGATTCGCTGCTTTTCATTGGCCTATAATTCGCCAATCACAACGAGGCAGGTTAAGAACCGACGAACGTGATGGTCCGCCCCGTGCTCTACTCGTTCTGGAAGAGCAGCGCGTCGTATCGCGTGCGCATTGCGCTTACGTGGAAGGGCATCGAGTACGACTACCAGCCCGTCAACATCTTCAACCGCGAGAACGAAGCCCGCGACTACCGCCAACTCAACCTCAACCAAGTATGGACGACTACGTTCTGAGTGTGGTTGAGTTTGCACTTGTAGAAAGTACCGACGCTCGTGATCGATGGCCTCGTGCTGACGCAATCCCCCGCGATCCTCGAGTACCTCGAGGAGACCCGTCCGCATCGCCCGCTCTTGCCGTCCGACCCCGCGGTCCGCGCGCAGATCCGAGCGCTGTGCGGCATCATTGGCGCCGACATCCAGCCGCTGCAGAACGTGGCCGTGCTGCGCGAGGTGGCGCGCGATGCAGAGAGCAAAGCGACGCGGAAGCGCGAGTGGGCGCAGCACTGGATCCAGCGCGGCTTCCTCGCGGTTGAGGGCATCCTCGAAGAGTCGGCGGGGACCTACTGCTTTGGCAATGCGATCACGATGGCCGACCTCTTTCTCTTGCCGCAGGCCAACAACGCAAAAGCCTTCCACGTCGACATGACGCCGTTCCCAAACATCACTCGCATTGCTGCGACGCTCCAGAACGAACCGGAATTTATGGCCGCGCATCCGATCAACATGCCCGACAAGACAGACGAGTAATCGACGAGTGGCACGTGTCGCTGCATGCGACTTGATGGGCATCGTTCGAGGCGTCATGTCGTCCAAGCTCTTTCGATAATGCGAATGCTATGCAGTTCACTCCTCTGCGGGTGTATGGTTCTGGTTCTCTTCTTTCTCGTTCTCTCTGCCCAGCGGTTCACTAGCCCAACTGCTAGTTTGTTAGAAATGACATGCTAGTTACAGTACTCGAGAGTCGGCGCACATCGTACCTGTACGTTCTTCGCATCGCATTGCTTCCGGAGTCCAGCAGCAGGCGACGGCATGCTTCCGCTTCCATCGTGTTCCTCAGAGGACAACTGCTTCAAAGTATGTACGCACGATCCTACTGGGCACATGCCATATTTAATAACATGAATATCGGCAAATGCCACAGGGTCATTTGAAGCATCGTCCACGTAGAAGCCACCGATCGGATCCTCCTCAAAACGCACAAGCACAGCGACCTGCATACTACGAAGGAGTTGCCGTTGACAACATGTATTCGCTGTACGAATCGTGTCGGCTCTTGCCAAGAGCCGACATATGGCATATGCCACAAATAAGAAAATGCCGAAATTAAAATTTAGAAAGGCCATTTTCCAAAATCGACCATGGCGCGCGCCGTGCTCTACTCGTCGTGGAAGAGCAGTGCATCGTTCCGGACGCGGATCGGACTCGCGTGGAAAGGTATCGAGTACGAGTATCGAGGTATCAACCTCCAGACCAACGAGAACTTTGATGCGGCGTACGCGTCCTTGAACCCGAGCTCGGTTCGTCCTCGCGCCTTCGACTTTGCCATTTACATGCTAGTTTGCATTTAGAAAGTGCCGACACTCTTGCTCGACGACGACGTGCTGACGCAATCGGCAGCAATCTTGGAGTACTTGGACGAGACGCGCCCGGCGCGTCCACTCTTTCCGACGAACCCCAAGGAGCGCACCAAGGTCCGCGCCTTTTGCATGGCGATTGCCGCCGACATCCAGCCGCTGCAGAACCTCGCGACGCTGCGCAAGGTTGGCGCGCTCGTGTCACCCGATGAGGCGGAAGAAGCAAAACTCGCGTGGGTTGACCACTGGGTGACGCGCGGCTTTGGCGCGATCGAAGCGATGCTCGTCAAGAGCGCGGGCAAGTACTGCTTTGGCGACACCATCTCGATGGCCGACGTCTACCTGTACCCGCAAGTGTTCAACGCCCGCTTCTACAAGGTCGACTTGACCGCATTTCCGCACATTACGCGCATTGCCGACCGACTCGCGACTGAGCCAGCGTTCATGGCCGCCGATCCGCACGCGATGCCCGACCGCCCGCAGCCATAGATAACACACCTCGTGAAAAGTTCCAGCTCACATCAAATTTACCTCGGGCGTTTTTGGCCGATTTTGGTGGTTTTGTGCTCATATACGGTATGTGGCCGGACAAGCTGCCACGTCAGCGAATCAAAACTTTGAACAGAGCATTACACGCTTGCTGACGCGTGACGTGGCCTCAACGAATCACCTCGCACATTGTGTCGACTTTTCAGGTTCAGTTTCATTTTGGCAGCATGCACGACGGGGCACCAAAGCCAATCTTGTTTTCGTACTGGCGCAGCAGCTGCTCGTTCCGTGTGCGCATTGCTCTAGCGCTCAAGCACATGTCGTACGAGTACCGTGCGATCGGCGACGGTCTCGACTCGGCCGCGTACACCGCGCTCAACCCGAGCAAGGTTCTCTTCTTCTCTTCTGCTTGGATTGCTCTCGAAACAAACTGCATTTTTACGTAGAAAGTCCCGACTCTGTGCATTGACGGCGTCGTCCTCACGCAGTCGATGGCGATTCTCGAGTACGTCGACGAGACGCGCCCGACGATGGCGCCACTGCTGCCTGCCGACTGCACGCTGCGGGCGCAGATCCGCGCCTTCTGCCTCATCATCGTCGCCGACATGCAGCCGCTCCAAAACGGCGCGGTCCTCGAGGAAATCGGAGCCATCTCGACCAACGACGATGCCGACACCAAGTGGGCAGCGCACTGGATGCACCGCGGCTTTAACGCTCTCGAGAGGATCTTGGTGACCACCGCGGGCACCTACTGCTTTGGCAACACGCTCTCTCTCGCCGATGTTGTCCTGTACCCGCAAGTGTTTAACGCCCGGTTTTATGCCATCGCCCTCGACGCGTACCCACAGATCCAGCGCGTGGCGGCGACGCTCGCCACAATCCCAGCCTTTCAAGCCGCGGATCCGTATAAAATGCCCGATGCGCCGACCCAGGTGTCAATTTCATCCGAAACATGAGCATATTGTCCTTTCCGCCGTTGCATCGTTCGTTTGGATCGATTGCATGCGAAGAGTTAAAGTAAGAAATTGGTGGTCGACTTGTCAAGGCTACCCTAGGTATATCTACCGGTAGATGATTGCTCCAGCACTCGGTCCCGCAAAGACGAGTAAAAAGAGAGTGATTTCATGAATTTCCCCAATTTCCAGTCTATATAGCTATGTCAAAACGCAAATAAAACGCAATAAACCTATCGCCACCCCGTGCCGTGGCTAATATCTACCTATGCACGTGTTCAGATGTTTCCACACTCGGTCTCTCCAAACCGGCAAAAAGATAGTCGTTGAATGAATTCATCCAAAATGCAACTTTCATGCCAGAGCTCAAATCGGTGGCAAGGCGGCAATACGTACTCGATGTGACGCCACCCGCACGGTGGGCTTCAAGAGCTCATTGGGCTCTTTAACCATCTACTGGTGGAGGAAGTAGCTCGTCCATCGCACGTCGACCCAGCGATGCATCGTCTCTCCATCACTCATTCAACCAGTCACTGCATTAAAACGAGTCCATCCGACTAGGAGTATCACACATCATGTAGTACAATCGTTCTTGTCGCTACGAAGCAAACAAATCAATGCCGTGCTTCATGTTGTGCATCCAGTTGTCGACGCGCCGCGAGGTGCTCGCGAGAGCATTTTTGATTTCGGCCTTGAACTTGTCGGCGGCTTCGTCGCTGGAGAGCTGGACCGAGAGCTGGTCTCGGAGGTACAAAATGTCCCGAAACGAAGTCATCTCGGGCACGTGGGCTGGCACCATCTACGTATGCATGGCATCCATTTTATTCCTCGGGCAACGACAGTATGTAGTTGTACAAGGGCAAAGAGGGTGACCCAGAGCGCGGGCGTCTGTCGCAGGAGGTTGTACGCGTCGCCGCAGTAGCGTTCAAAGAGCTCAAACCGCGTCTCGCTCGACGACGCGCGCATGACAAACGCCATCTCGGGCGTCAACACGAACGGCGCGCGCTCGCGCTGAAAGCCAAATTTGACTTTAAAATTCCCGAGAAAATGCCCGAAATCAATGTCTACAATGTCCAAATTTGTCCAAAAGCATCGAAAAAGATCTTACGAAACAAGTGCCCCGTGGACGCAACCATGATGTTGTCGCTGTGCCGGTCGCCAATCCCAAGCACATACGTCGCGACGCAGTACCCGGCGCATGTCCGGATAAAGTGGTCGACCGCGTCTGCGAGCGCGTCGCCATCTTTTCCATATAGTCGAGTGCATGGTACGCCATATCCAAATATTTGGTACCTGCCGCGGCGTGCTTGAGATACGACTCGATCGGGGTCGCCATCCACGCGCCAAAGTACACGTGTCCATAATCACGATGGATATGGGCCGTCGTCTTGGCGTTCGGGACGACCTCGATCATCCCGAGCTCGTACCCGATCGATTGGCACAAGTACGGCTTGAGGCGCAGGTCAACGCCATGGGCATACCACAATTTGTCCCACAATCTAGCAAAAACATAGTTGAACTTTACCAAAAAGCGAGGTGTCGAAGGCACCGTAGCAGCTGCAGCGTCATGAGGTCCTGCCGCAGGTCGTCGCCGTGCTTGAAAATGGCCAGGATCGGGTCGCCGAGCGGATCCGCATTCTCAAATGTCTACCGTAAAAAGGACAATATTGTACTTACTACCGAAAAGACAGGTATACGAGCCAAAGCGGCTTTTTTGCGGAGCCCAGGACGTGGCATTTCTCGATACAGAGGCGGCGGCACTCGAAGCGGAGTGAGAGGCACAAGTGGAACGGCTTGTCCAGCGTCGCGTTGAGTAACTCGAGCTCCGTGGCGAGGCAGGCGAGCCTACATCGCGCTCGATTCACAATTTGTGTCGAGAAGGAGCGTCACCGGTTGTCTTTGTGGGTGCGCTTGACACGCTGAGCAATCAACTAGAGACACGTGTCCAACATACCAAGATAGGTGGTCGACTCTACCTCGAGCTGGTCGACGATGCGGCACTGCTCGAAGAGGAGAGCGCGGTGCGACGGGTGCAGCGAAACGTACGTGGCGAGAAGAATGCTGTACGCCTCGGCGTGGAGCCAGTCGTCGGCTTCTGTTTTCAGGAGCCAAAAGACGCGTTGGCCAATCTGCACAGGGTTCAAGAGGCTGCGGTAGAGGAGGAAGCGGCTCAACGCGCCGTCCACATGCAGCTCGTACTTGAGCACCTATGCACGTGCATGCATCGCTACGCAGGAAGCTCGATCGACGCTCCGATCCTACTTGAACGAGCTGGAGTACGTAATCTTGAAGCACGTCATCGGGCAGCTTGTGCAGCCTACAGCCCACACGTACGTGAACCGCCAAGGAGATGCTTCGTCGTGTATACTGGTCGACGACCCACGATCGCAGCATCGGATCTGGCACATCGTGGCCAAGCACTTGGAGGAGCGACGCCGCATCATCGTCCCTACCGACGATATCAACTCTCTGGTACAAACGAAGAAGACAAGTTGTACGTACAGTGTCCATAGCGCGACCAAGCGCCGGGCTTCCTCGATCGCGTCGCGGCTCGACCAGTTGATGGACCGCAGAAACACAGGCAGCAGCTACACCAGTTCGCACTCTTCAGGACGCCATTTGACGTGGAAGCGAGCTCGTACGGCCGGTGTCGCCGTACACTGGTGGCGCGCTTGCCAGAGCACGGTCTTCTCTCGCTGGGTTAGCGTATGCAGCATGTCGACGTGCTCTAATGCGGCGAGCGTCGCATCAATGGACGCACTCGACTGCGATCGCGCTGACAGCTTTCTCGGGTCGCGCCGCGGCTCCACCAGCTGCAGCGGCCTCTCAAATGCATCGAGCTCGTACGTGAGCACACCGTGGCGGCAGGACGGATTCGGTGTCGTCGGAAACCCCAGCGGAAGTTCGCCATTCTCAAAACCATGGGGCCTACACCAACGACTCTCAGCCATAATTTAAACCTTGGCGGGAAAACGCCACGTCATGGAGCAGGGCCAGAGCGAGAGATTGTGACGGCCGCCGACCACGCAGTGATCGCTCGACTCGAAGAGCGGTCGCCACGCTGCTGCCAACGGCACCCGTCGCGCGGCGCCATCGACGCCTTCATTGTCCAGGAGAATGCCGTAGACGATGAGACTCAGCCGCGCACTCGCCGGCAGCGACTTGTACGCAATCACAGAGCTCGTGAGCCAACCGCCGTTGATGGGCCAGTCGAGCTTGTCGGCATGGAAGGGAATCGGAGGCGTTTCGAGCACCTCGTAGCCGTCCGTGGCTAAGAACGCGCGACCATATATCAAACATGTGAAAAATAGGAAAATAGGCTGAAGCCGTACGAGGCGACGAGATGCAGCTCTCCGCAGCGCCCAGACGCGTCAACGGCCCGGCCCAGAGACCAACGGCCACGACGAGGTGGCTCACGCGGCTGTCCTAAGCACATCGAGTCCATCCAGTATCAAGCTATCCAGCGACGATCGCGTTCGGACCTCGGGCAAGTGGGCAAGCTCGACCATCTTGATGCGGAAGGCCAGGCCACGGTCGACGTGTCGACGCGCGCCATGGTGCGAGGGACGTGCTTGGCAAACGAAACAAACGGCAAGACTCGATGAAGCCAGTCGAGGGTGTCTCGCTTGAGCTCAGCGTCCGCGGGCGAGAGATCGACGAGCGTGAGCTTGGCCGTCGCTTTGTTGCGGGCGCTTGCGTGCAAATGAGCATATGCCCCCAGCGGTCGCTCCTCGTCGAGGAGGTACTCGTTCCGGCCCGTGACCTTGAGCACGAACGCGTCGCCGACGGTCGTTGCATCGACGCACAGCCGATAACGTGCGTACTCTAGCACATCTCGCACCGTGTTCGCTTCGTCGCCTTCGTACAGAAGGCTCATGTTTGTGCCTGGTCGCGTGACGAGAAGGCGAATCACGTGCTGCGAACCGCTGTACCGGCACGGAAACATGGGAAAGCGCAGTGTCCCGGCTTGCGTCCGAGCATCGAGCGCTGGGTGGTGGGCCCGGAGCCATGCTTGAAGAGACCGAATAATGTGAACGCAGCGCGGCCGCTCAAAGATCCCGCCATCGGCAACGGCGCTGAATTGATTGAGCCCGCGGTTGTCGTCGTCCAACGTGGCCGACGCGATCGAGCTCCGAAAGCTCTCATCGTCGTAGACGAGGCTACTGGCGCGAAGGCTCCAGCGCGAGACAATATCTTCGTCCTCTTTGGGTAGCGTCGTGGCGTCGTCCTCGCCGTGGCGTGGCCCGTCGTCGTCTTGGTTGCTCGCCGGCGCCGGCGCGACGACAGCCGGTGCCAAGAGGCCATGCGCGCGCAGCGTCTCCAGCGGTACCGTCCATCGCGCCTCGCCCGTCACCAAGTGGCGAAAGTACATCCCGACGTTCGGGTCCTCGACGACTGCCCAGTCGCCAACGGTCGTCGTCATCGTCGGAAGATCGCAACAATCATCCGGTTACTTGCTGCCTCGCTGTCCTTTATACGGATACGGTGTGCATATCCGTATGCATCCGGTTACCGTGCCACTTTCGAAAAATCTTGACAGCATGCAATCGCGGTACGACGACGCCTTGATGGGCATCGTGCAGAAGGAAGGCAGCATCCACGGTCTTCTGCACGTCTTCTTCGACTTCCTCCACCGCAACACGGACTTCTACGTCGTCTCGGACAACCCGCAGCGCCAAATGGGCTTTGCCCCCGGCGTCGCCCAGAACCTCGTATCGACGACCGACCGTGCTGCGTGGCTTAGCCGCACGCGTAGGTGCTTCAGTCGTTTCAGCGCTTTCCAATGAAGCCGCTCGAGCATGCGCCGCCGGCCACGACGGTGCGGCCACCGCCCTCAAAGCAGCCCGACGCCCGCCCAATGGCGCTGACCGACGACGGCAAGCAAGGTACATGGCGTCCGGTTGCGCAATGGCACCATGGCCTGCTTCGTCGATAGTACCGGAAGGCAACGGCGGGCGAACAGACAAATATTCGTGGACGCAGTCGCTGCAAGAGCTCACAGTACGTCGAGATAGACATGTGTGCGGGTGGTGGGATGACCGATCGTTTAGGTGACGATTCCAGTCCCCGCAGGCACCAAGTCCAGAGACCTCGACGTGCGCATGACGAGTGCCTCGGTACACGTTGCCATCAAGGGCCACAGTGTACGTCGCTCCAGCGCTGTCGTGGGATACGCATGGACCATCCATGGGGCTAGGCGCCGCTGGTCCACGGGACGTTTCCGGGAAAAATCAAAGTTGAAGAGTCGCTGTGGTCGCTCGACTCGAGCGAAGCAGTTGTCTTGTCGCTTGAAAAAGCAACGCCCAAGACGTGGTGGAAGTCCGTACTCGAGGTAGTTGGCGCCTCACCAGTGGACCTCACGGAATCGCATGACGTCGGTCGATTGTGTAGGGCGATGCTGAGATTGACACGACCAAAGTCGACTCGACCATGCACATCAGCGAGTACGACCCTGTGACGCAAGGCGCGATTCGCAAAGTCATGGTAACTCCGTTCTCAGATGTGGCTTCGACGACACCATCGCCGCCTAGTACGAACAACGGCACGGAGGCGGCGGGGCGTCCGACGCCACGATCCCTTCGATGAACGACGGCTCCCCACGGCTCTAGATACACTGCACTCTAGTCGAAGCGATCCGGTAGATTGTAGTGTGATACAACGGCAATCATCCAGTATATTGCAGCGTGCAGAAGGTGTTGTCGTCTAGGTCTGGCTGTCGACGCCTGAATCAGTTTAGTACACACAACTGCTGAGCGCTCGGCGTCTCCTATCGGGCAAGGGCGTCTGTGTTCAACCAAGACTTGGTGCTGGGCCACCGCACGCATCATGGTCGATCTTCTCATGGTATTCAGCTCGATAGATAGATAGATAGATAGATAGATAGATAGATAGATAGATAGATAGATAGATAGATAGATAGATAGATAGATAGATAGATAGATGTCGTTCATTCGCGTGAATCAACACAGCTCACAGCAGTTGTACTGGCTGTGAGCTCAATCATGGCAGACGCAATATCCAGAGGTCTTTGGCCCACAAGAATGTCTGTGTGGCGAGATTGTCCTTTCTAACCATCACTCACCACGTATCCAACACCACGGGTCGGCCAATGATGGTCGTTTCGCGCGCCCGTTGTCGTCGACACCATAATTCTTTGGCCAAGCACGCACCCAATTTCTCAACCTCAACGTCAACCTCAACGCCACCATACATGATTCCGTTTCCTTCAATTTCGCAGTTCCGACACATCGTTGCGGCGGTCACCGAGCACGCACAGTATGTCGGCCGCGACCCTGCGACAGACCACGCGATTTTCGATACGACGCGGCCGTTGCCAACGCTCACGTTCACCGGCACGGTCAAGCTCCACGGCTCCAATACAGCTGTGGTCTTTGCAGGCGATCGCCCGATGCAATTTCAGTCGCGATCGCGGGCCCTCTCGGTCACGTCGGATTACGCTGGTTTCGCCGCCGCCATGACGTCGCACGCCAGCGCGCTGCGCAAGCTCCACGCGGCCATTTGTAATGTCGCGCAGTGTGCGCATGATGTGCCGATTGCACTCTACGGCGAGTGGTGTGGCGGCAGCATCCAAGGCGGCGTCGCGCTCGCGCAGCTCTCCAAAATGTTTGTGTACTTTGCCGTCAACGTCGACGGGCGCTGGCTGGACATGCGCTTGCTCTGTGGGATCGACGAGCCCGGCGCTAAGATCTATCACGTTATGCGCTTTGGCACGTACTCAATCGAGATTCCGTTCGACGCGCCGGACGTGGCGCAGGCGCAGCTGGACGCGTGGACCGCCGACGTGGAAGCTGAGTGCCCCGCCGCCAAGGCCTTTGGCGTCTCGGGCACGGGCGAAGGTATCGTGTGGGTGTGCACGTCGCCAGGCTACGCGTTCAACTCTCGGTTTTGGTTCAAGACAAAAGGCGACAAGCATGCGCTCACGTCGTCGTCGTTGTCGAGCGGAGGTCGCCGGCGGACACCGGCGACGTCGATCGCACCGGTCGTCGTTGCCACTGTCGAAGCGTTTGTGCAAGAGTACGTCTCGGAAAATCGGTTGCGCCAGGGCCTGCATGTGTTGGCCGAACGCGGTCTGGAGGTGAGCATCAAGCACACGGGTGTGTTTGTGCAGTGGGTCATTCGCGATATCGAAAAGGAAGAAGCCGACACACTGGCGGCGAATGCGTCGACGCTCCGTCGACCGCTCGTCCAGAAGTCGATTGCAACGGCGGCGCGGTCGTGGTATCTCGCGCGCTTGCAAACCTAACCTCGTCCACAGATCGAAAGATAATAGAGAACGTTGGACTCGTCCCTTACGTCATGTCTCATATTGAACAATGAACTCCTTTTTCCTTGCTTGCATCTACGGTACTGTACAAGTGTGTCGTATAACGTCATTCGGTCGACACATGTATAACGACCACGTCGCCATTCTTGCCATGCAGCGTGCGCGTCTTGGGCGGCAGCATCTCGAGGTAATCGCGCGCGAGGGTCCGGTCGCGCCGTTCGCCGCGGAGCTTAAAATACGCCGACGCCGCGAGCAGCTCGTACGCTTCTTCGTCATGGATGGTTGTCAAGAAGAGGAGCAGCGACGCCGCCTTGGCTTCGTAGTGCGCGGCGTCGTCGGGCCACAGAAACGTCGACTCGACGCAGTCCAAGAAATGCGTGCGCAGCATGCATCGGCGCATCTCAGCGTGTTGGAAGCAGTCGCGGCGCAGGCTTGGCAGCAACCGCAGCATCGTCAGCAGGTCGGCGAGGCAGAGGTACCCGGCCGAAAGTACCATCGCGAGCGTGTGCGGCCCCAGCACGCGAAAGGTTGACGTCGCGAGGCGGTCGTCGTCGGTGTAGTGGAAGGCCGCAGCCTGGAACACGGCATCGTCGGTCGGCAGGATGCCATTTCCGATAGGTTTATAGACCATGGGTGTCGCGAGCTGCAGCGGGCCGCTTGCCAAGAGGAAGGGACTCGTCCACGACAGCACCTTGCCGCGGCTAAGGACATGGAGGATCTCAATGTCGTCGACCTCGTTGTACTGGAGCACATGCATGCACGCGTTGGAGATCGGGTGGCGGATCAAGGCCGTGTGGGGTCGGACAATGTCCAGCTGGTACATTTCGCCGTCGATGCATAGCGGGCTGCAGCGCAGATAGTGAGTGCTAGGACTAGACGCCGTGACCTCGACCCACGGTGCGTCCGGGAGATCCAACGCCAGCGCATACGTGATCGTTGGCGTTGCTTCCACCGGTGCCAGTGCCACGTCGTCGTCGTCGAAGTCGCCGTCGGCGGTGCGCGGCCACTGCACCGTTGGGGGCACCCACGGCTGCAGCTGCAGTGGCGAGATCTCGAGGAGGTGCCAAATGTCCCGAAAGACCCCGTGGTATCGACGCTTCTCGTGGAGCGCGGTCGCACTGAGTGCAAAGCGTCCATGGATGTAACAGGGTACCAGACTCAGCTGTGTCGCCCCAAGCGAAACGTGCAAGTGGTCGCCGGTCGGGAGCTGCAGCCCGAGAAACGACCGGCTGTTGAGCTCGAGGGCCACCAGCGCACCTACCGCATCAGCCGCGACGAGCACTTGATTCGAGTACCCGACGTACGAGATCGACGCATATGGCCACGGACACGACCGGGTGCGCTGCAGCAGCGAAAGCGAGAGCGCGTCAAACTGGTAGTCGTCCCACGGACACGTCGACACGAGGTGTAAATAGCGACCATCCCGCGTAAAGTACATGCCGAGCCCAAAGTTGGCCTTTCGGACGGGCCGAAACCCGAGGCCGCGGCGGCATACCAAGCGCACGCCGCGGCGAGGGTCAACGTGCAGCTTGTACAGCGTCGGCGCATCCCACGTCCACGCAAACAGTGCCGTCGGGTCTGTCGGCGAGAAGGCCATCTCGAGCCGACTGCCCGCGCGATCGTCGTCGTCGAGCTCGGCGTCGTACGTGTAGCTGTGCACGATATGCGTCGCATCGTCGCGCAGGCGGTAGCGGCCGGCGATACCGTCCGGCGTCCGCTCGAGCAGCGCGACATGGACCTCGTTGGCAAAGACTTGACCACGTGGCGGCGTCGGCGACACAAAGGCAACGAGGAGCTCCGTGCCGTGGCCTGGTACGAGCGTCGGCACACCGCGCAAGATGTAGTTCTCGTCGTCGGCGAGCGCCAGCTTTGGCGAGCTTGGCATGTTGCTGCTCCAAAATGCAAACAGCAAACTGGGACAAACCTGGTTTGTCCCGCCAGATACTGAAAGCGTATGCGGATTTCGACACACACCGTGACGTGCGGGCGATAGAAAGGACGGCCTGTGGGACAAACACGCTTTGCCCCAAACGGAAGAGCGTCAGTTGCAAGATGAGTCGGCCCGGCGCGGTCCTCGACTGGGTGCGTCGCGTGACCTTGTCAACGCCTTCGAGGCCCTCGCCACCGACGACAATGACGACGAGAAGGAAGATCCGTGGGCGGTCTTTAACGCTGCGAGTATCCTGATGGTGCCGTTTGATATGGCGGCGTTTGTCGCGCCAATTGACGCTATGGACGCGGCGCGCGCCGCGCTGGAAGCCCGCCTCGAGGACGAGAAGTTCCAGATTCTCTGCTTCATCCAGGACGTCGACGACATGAACCGTGAGGTCATGCTGTCGTGGAGCCTCTTCAAGGCCGGGCAAATTAGCTTGATGGCGGCGACGGCCGTCACCAACGCGTGCGTGCATGCTGTCGAAGTCCTTGGGAACGACATGAGCTTTGCGCACCCGCACCTCAAAGATCTTGACCACATGATGGCGCTCCTCGTCTGCGAACAAGTGCTCGTGGACCTCGTCTCGGAGAACGGCCTGTCATTGAAAACGGCCGTCGAGCTGGTCGTGCTTGCCAAGCGGGCGATGGTCGAGCGGCTCCGACCGGCCGCTGAGCGCACGATCGCCCAGCGCCTCAAGGTGTCGACGGTGGTCGCGTCCCGTGTGATCGACGTGGTGCACATGCACTATGACCAGTCGGACGTGTGGAGTCTTGATTGGACGTCGTCGCTCGGCAACAAGAATGGCTTTGTCAACCTCCAGCACGCACTCTTTAGCTTCCTCGAGGTCATCACGCCCGGCCACCGCATGATGTGCCGCCCCGGCACCTTTGGCCGCGACTGGGACGAGCGTCGCCAGCCCGCGTCGTCGCTCATGGACCTGTACCAGACGTTTTTTGCCAACATGTTGCCGGCGCTTGTCATCCATGTACGTGACACAAGCCTCTTCACGCTCGAGTACGAAGTCAAGATGAAGCCGCTTCTCGTGCTGCTCAAGGCATACGTCAAGACCAAGGAAGTGCCGGTTGCGCTCGTCTTTGCATGTCAGGCGGTCCTCTGGAGCCTCTTCTTGACCCAGGACAAGGCTCAAGACGGCATGTGCTGCGCCAAGGTCGTCGACGACACGCGGCACACGATCGGTCGCGTGACGCGCCAAATGCAAGCGCTTTGTGACAACGCCGACGGTATCGTCGTACCGCCACCCTCCAAGAAGAACGTCGAGGCGGCGCTCGGCTGGCTCCAGAACCTCCGTGTGGCGACATCGCCCGACGATGCATTTAGCCAAATGGAAGTCGACCGTGCGTGGTTCAACCCGTACATGGCCGGCCAGATCCTCCTCACGATCACAATGGAGATTGGCTTCTCCATGGGCCTCGCGACCATGGATGACATTGGCCAGACGCGCATGGTCCTCCACCTCTACAACGCGCTCCGTGTCCTCGACAAGATCCCGCCGAACGCGGATCTGGACAACTTGGTGAATATGTTTGAGCGCGGCAAGTCGGTTTGGGTTGGTGGCCGCCCAACCGTCCGCGGCGGCTTTGTCAAGGCCCATCTACTGGCGTGGGGCTATAACGCACCGACGGCAGCGGCGTTGGCCGCCAACCTTCACCGCGACAAGGAGGCCTTCCTCGCAAAGTCGACGCTTCGCGACCAGATGGACCACCGCAGCGACGCTCGGAAGAAGCAAGCTAAAATCAGCGACTTTGGCCGGGCGCTCCAGACGACCGACCCGGCGCCCGTGAGTCGAGCGTATCGGTACGTGACGCGCCTGACGGCACCGACGGAGACGACGACGCGTCTTCCATTGGCCATCGACATTATGAATATCCTCCACGCCGACTATAACGCGTTCTTGTACCTCGACCTCAACACGGTCGGACAGCTCTTCCGCGCCGCGTGGACGGACATGATCACGACGTTTGGCTTCAAGGGCTTCGACTTTGCACCGGAGCGCGGGATCGTCGACGGTCCATGGCGCGAGACGGACGCCAACGTTCGCGTGCACACGAAAATCTCTTTTTCCAGACGCTTCTCGGGCTCTGCGACGTCGATCCCGACCACCCGCGCGTGTTGGTGGCCGCCGGTGCGATGCAGCAACTGGCGCAGCAGATGCACACCGCCCACACGAGGTCCAGCATGTAGTCGTACAACGCACTGGTGTCGTTGAGATGCAACCATAAAGCTCAATATGAACGTCGTCTGTACACCAACTTGCGGCTCATATTTCCGCGACTATTAGTCCCAGCTGGGTCACCTACATCGGCTTGGAGCGCATGGGACTCCACCCTCGAGAACAAGACGTATGCAGTGTACCCCAGGTCTATTCAAATACCACCTATATCAGCTTACCTCTATCAGCTTGGAGAACGTACGGGTCCGCAGTGCACACCAACCAGGGGTGAATGAATGCCAATGACACTTTCCCTTACCAACGCGATGAAAGATCGCAATGCCGCGTTCCGATTGGCTGGCTCAGCGATTGTATCCGGATGTTCCGGATACAAGAGCACCTCCGGAAGACGACCGTGGTTTCGAAGGTCTTAAAACACGCACCTCAAGTCCGGCGGACGATGGGCAATCGTGCCTATTAACGTCGGTCTTTTGTCTAGCGCACCGTCCTGGATGCTAGTACATTGCACATTGGGTTTCTACTGCCGAGAGGCTCTTCTAGCACCCCGTCGCATTGTCCGTGCCCTCCCCATTGCTTGAAAAAGGTGCGTGCGAATAGTCCATCCAAATGATTCAGAAACCCAAAATACCGACAATAAATTTTGGATCGGCCGCAGCAGGAGCAGGATGGCCATGACGTACGACGAGGCGATGGGCACGCTCTGCGCCATGTTCGACACGTTCGACCGCGAGACGATCTCATGCGTGCTGGAGATGAACCGCGGCCAGCTCGAGAGCACCATCGACACGCTTCTCGGGATGCAAGCCGACATCAACGGCGAGCCGGCGCCGGTCGCGCTGCTGCCGGCCGCCCGCGTCGCGCTGCCCGACGACTTTCTGCGCCTGCCAGGCTACACGTCGGCGATGGAGCAGGAGGCGCAAGACCGCATGATGGCCGAGATGCTCCAGAACGAAGACTTTTTCCGCAACGAGCTCATGGCGGACGGCGAGTTCAGCGCCTACTTGGGTACGTGCCGGCGCCTGCGCCCATCGTCCCAACGACATGTAGGAACGTCGCCGCACCACGCGCGGGCCTCGCCGACGCGCCGCCTCTCGAACGAAAAGTCGGCCATGGAGGTCGCCAACGAGACGCTGAGTGCAGTCTCCGGCAAGCTCTCGACCATGAGCGTTGGTACAGCCGTGCCATCGATGACGGTATTCGCATCTGGTAATTGCGCCATGGAATAGCGATGCGCAACAAGATGTACGCCATGTACTCGCGCTTCCAGACGCGGAATGACGCGGCGGCGCGGGCCGACCCCGGCAGGTACCGCTACCTCGTCGTCCGCTTCCTGCCCCATGCGACAACAACCTCTCTCTCTCTAGTCGCCGCCGCCTCATGTCGATGAGCGACGAAGAAGATGACGACGACGATCGCCGACAGCCCGCCAACGACGAGCGCGAGACGATGCACCGACGCAAGACGTCGGGAAGCGAAGAAGATGCGGCCGTGGTCCATCGCGGGCCGACCGACGCAGCGTCGTCTTCTTCGTCCTGGGGGCACTCCAAGTCGGACTAGTCGCATATCTGTTTCAAGAGAATAGTACAATGATGCTGGAGATGGAACCATGTCCTGATGGTTATACGAATTGCCGGAACAGAATCGCATCGCTCGACTGCCACCCATCGTCCGACGTCTTGGCTTCCTCTTCCTCGTCGTCGTCGTCAAAGTCGTCCATGAGATCTTGGGCCGCCGAGGCAGCGAGCGGCGCCGGACCTGCCGGCGTGGCCGGACACTGTCGCATCTGCACAGCCGAGTCGCCCTGGAAGTAGCCCTACCCACCCGCATGAGCAATCCTACTCGGAGGCACGCAAGATGCATCTATCTCTACCTGCGCACGCCAGGCGAGGATCGTTGCGGTAGGGTACGGCCCCTGGATCTGCCCGTCCGGCGCCCGGTACTCCCAGTACACAATAGGCTTGGGCGCCGGCTTGTCGACAATGTCTTCCTTGGGCTTGTGGTAGATCTCGGTGTGGCCCATGCGCATCATGTAGTCGGCCGCGTCCGTGAGCTGGTTGAACTCGCGCTGCATGTCGGGGGTCTGGGCGGTCACAACGACCTTCTTTTGCTTGGCGGTTTTCGGCTTGGGCTTCTTGCCGAGTCGCCGGAGCGCGGCAAGGACGGTCTCTCCTTCGTTGAGGACCTCCATGAAAACGCTCTTGGCCCGGCGCTCGGTCCACGTCTCGGCTTCGTCGTCGGCCGCCTCTTGGCGCTGGAGACGCGCCATCTCGGCGATCTCCATGTCCTGCGCCGAGACGCCGTCCAGCCATGCGTCTTCCTGAACGGCCTTGTCGCCTTTGGCCCACACAAAGTTGCCGCTGTCGTCGAAATGGCCGTCCTCGCGGTCTTCCTTGAGGTTGAAGGGCATCATGCGAACGCCATCGTCGTCTTCGTACGCGTCATGGCGGGTCGTCGACTCTTCCTCGCCTTCCTGTATCTTGTGCTGGATCGGCGGCGGACGAGCCTTCTTGCCGTCCTCGGCGTCGCTGTCCTCGCTCTCGTACGCAACGTGGTCTTGGTCGTCGTCGTCGTCGTCGTCGCCATGGCTGCCAGACTCCTTGGTCTCTTCTTCCTCATCATCCTCAATGTACTTGACCGATGGCTTTGCATGGAACTGCACGGACTTGGCCTTCTTCGCGCCTCCGCGATCGCCGCCATGGCCATGGCGCTTCATCGGAACCTGCGATTGGGGCTCGGATATCGTATTTATACATATCCTCTCATATTCGATATATTGCAATATGTATACATTGGCTTGAAAAGCTGCTCCAAAACCCATGCAATAAAACGCACGCGGTATAGTCGGTCAAACACGACGTCGATTGCTGAATCGCGCACAGCAGCCCGTTCAACCAGCCTGCCGTGCAACTAACTATCCGACGAGAAGAGGAGAGAGGCCCGCGTCAGGGCCATTATTAGAGCTTGCCGCATGCTATTAGAAGCTGTATCGTCACGAATCCCATATATCCTGCTCGTTCAACGGGCTCCGTAGTTGAGGACGACGCGTACAGGTTAGAATTCGCTGGTTTACCGTATCGCATCTGCCATTGCACGTGCGCATTTGCACATCACGTCGAACGAGTACTTCCATGGTCCTTGGCTCGATATCGTATCCGTGTCAAGTTGAAGGTCGTCTTCCATGTCAACGACCTTTTGCAGCGCTTAAACGCGTTTAACTTGTGTCGGTGCAACGCACCGCCAAATCATTTCATTGCTTTCAATACAAATGTGGAGTGTTTCTCGTATTAAAATGCGTCGTCGGAATCCTGCGCACTGGTTGGTGGAGCGGTTCGGATTTTATTGTTGGTCTCCACCTTCAAAACACAGCAAGCAGCAGCAGCAGCATGGGCAAGGACAAGAAGACGCGCAAGTTCGCCGCTGTCAAGCGCATGATCAGCCCCAAGGACACGCGCCTGTACGTGCTACCTCTACCTACGGCCCATGCTCATGCTGCGTAGTAAGTCGGTCCAGAAAGACGTTGAGAAGAAGGCGCTGAAGGCCAAGGAGCGCGATGCGCCGCGTCAAATGTACGTCCGTCGCGGCCGATAGCCGCTCATGGCCAAGCTCTATAGTGACCAGATCCCGTCCAACATGTTCTTCAAGTACAACGCCGACCTTGGCCCGCCGTACAACATCCTCGTCGATACCAACTTTATCAACTTTTCCATCAAGAACAAGCTCGAGCTCGTGTCGTCGATGATGGACTGCCTCCTCGCCAAGTGCATTCCTTGCATTACGGACTGCGTCATGGCCGAACTCGAGAAGCTCGGCCACAAATACCGTGTCGCCCTGCGGTACGTACCGGCCATCGTGGCGTTCGCCTCCTCATGGACCCATCGTAGATTGGCCAAGGACCCGCGCTTCGAGCGCCTTCCGTGCACGCACAAGGGCAACTACGCCGACGACTGCCTCATGCAGCGCATCCAGCAGGTAGACGTATCTGCCCCTCTTGTCTCTCTTCTCATCTTCGTTGCCTAGTCGCGCTGTTATATCGTCGCGACGTGCGATCGTGAACTCAAGCGCCGCATCCGTAAGGTGCCCGGTGTCCCGATCATGTACATTGCCAACCGCAAGTACGCGATCGAGCGCATGCCCGAAGCCAACGCGGCCAAGGTCAAGTAATCTCGCCTCGCCCCCGGATCGAACCCTATATAGAACCAGACTTATGCTCAATGAACCCCAAAATATGTATCCATCTCGAGCTTATTTCTGGAACGCGAGCGACCCCGTGGCGTCCGGCACCTTGTGGTCACTGAGCTGCGGCCGGCTCTCGTACACGCACTCGACGACGCCGTGCTTCCACTGTACGCACGCTGAGAACGATCAATGTATCAAGTGGCGGCCAACCTTTTTCGACTCGCCCTTGAGGCCAATGTAGTAGACGCGGGTTTGGTCGCCGTCGACGCTGTTCTCAAAGAAGAGGCTCAAGCTGCTAATGCCTTGAAACTTGCGCAAACTAGATGAACATCGCATAGCGAATGGACCATGAGATGTCGCCGTCTACCTCAGCGGGTAGTCAATATTGGCGTCATAGTCCTCGACGAGCTCGAGCTTCTGCGTCGCGGGCAGCTCGGTCGCATTGGAAAAGTCAATGTCTTCACGGTTCACAAAGCTAACACCGCATATGAAACCCGAGTTGAAAGAAAGCGAGTCGTACAGCTTGACGGACGTGGGGTGGAGCCCGTCGGCGCCGCCAGCAATGCAGATCGACTTGACACTCACGGCCTCCGTGAACCTGCGCCGCGTTCGTTCATGTGCATGCACACAAAAAGGTCATACGTACGGAATGTACAGAATGAGCTCAGGATCGTCGTCGTTCGAATCGAGATACGTGGCGCGGGATCGCTTGTCGGCCGCGCTCTTGAACGGGTGCGTCTTCTGCCGCTCGTCGAGGGCGTTCAAGCACCGCACCTTGGTCGTGTCAATGAACTGGAAGAGCGAGTCGCCGTCCGCGTCCTCGACCTCGTGGTCATGGTCGTGGTCGTGCGAGTGGTCGTGGTCGTGGTGCTCGTGGGCGCAGCTCATCTTGTTCAAAATGCAAACTGGCCAATGCAAACCTCTATCATTTGATATAAAAAGTGCGTCAATCGATTTCGGAAGGATTCGGACATCCGCCGAGTATTTTTTCGGCTGGAGGTCTCTTGTTGCCTGAGGTCCGAGCGGTGCTATTGGTGCTTCATCCCGCCCACGACATCGATAGCTTGAATAGCAATCTATGTGACTCCATCACTGGATTTTGCATCATCTTGCTCATGCGCCGTCGGGACCGGTAGGTCCGCATGATGGATACCGGTATGCCACAAAACGACATGCATTGGTGTCCAACATGCCACGAGCACGAGTGTACGGGATAAGCCACGACACTATCCAAGCGCCATCGTTGGCAGGCTATTAGATCAGGCTGACCTTGCATTCCAGCGAAGCACCACACACAGGATTCATTCAGGTCTTGTTGCCGAGAACGACCCGACCGATTACATGGAGGCTGCAATCGTGACCGCAACAAGCGCCATGGCGCCAAATGCCATCGGCGCTGACGCAGCGCTGGGCTTGGCGCCGGTCGACGCCTTGGTCTTGGCCTCTTCGATAGCAAGCAAGTACGCTTCTTGCGACGCTTTGGTGCAGAAGATCTGGCCGCCGTACAAGTTTTTGATCTGCTTGTTGATCGGGCCGGACGTCGACGGATCCTGGAGCACCTGCGTGACGCCGTTGATGATACCATTCTGCGCCAGCCGCGTCGCATCAAAGATCTTGAACTGACGGCCGAGCAGCGTCATCATAATGTTGAGCGACGGCAGGATCGCCGCCGACGAGACCGACATGTTTTGAATGTACGGGTAGGTCTCGGAGCAGTTGGCGTCAATGCCGAGCTTGACTGTGATCGGGCCACCGCAGCACGTGTTGGAGTTGTCAATGAACGTCTTGCAGCCAAACTCGGGGATGCAGCCGTCGACGAGGAGGCTCACGGGCAACTTTGTGAACGACACCGACGCGTCGAGATGCATCGAGCCGTTCTCGCCAACGCTCAAATTGAGCTGGTTGACTTGGACCGTGTTGAGGCCCGAGACCCAGCGCGCGGTCACGTTGTAGTAGCTCGTCTTGACGGCGAAGAGGTTGCCAATCTCTTGGCATGGCGCTGGCGGGTTGCCATTGACGCAGTTGCCAAGCGTCGCGGGCAGCGCCGTGTCGGCCATGCTCGAGATGATGGGCTTGAACGAGCTAATGACAGTCGATAGCTCGTTGGGAAGGACCGGTGGAAGCGGCGTCGCAACAGCCACGCTGCCGACAAGAGCGGCGACAACCAGACGCAGCATGATGGCGGTGTTGATCTCAGTATCCAATGGCAAACTGGCAGCTGGGCACCTCGTCGGCCTTTCTTTGGGTGATAGGCAACCCGGCGTGCCCCGTTGCTACCGAGTACTGTGGTGCGTCGCTGATATCCGAGCATACAAATACGCTATATACCGTGTACACCGGTGTACAAAAATCATGCCAAACGCGATATTCGTACGCCATGGGATGCGTACACTACGCAGACGATGGCTCCATGCGCTCTCAGCTGTCAAGTCGATGTGAGGGGCAATAGACGCGCTGCTTCCGTCCGCTTGGCGAAAAGAAGCGCTGCCACAGCGACTCGAAGTTGGGTGTTTTTGCCTACAGCACGGATTGGATAAAAAGAATCTTTTAGAGCCAATGGAATGACGTCGTTTGGTATCCGGACCAAGATCGCGCCATTCGAGAATCAGCGCGGTCGACCGACGGACGACGTAGACGACGCGCCGAGGAAGCATGGAGAAGACCCGGCACGACGTCGATGGACATGCGCCCGCGGAAGCGCCGAGGGACATGCATGTGTTCAAGCTCCGCTGCAACGCATGCTGGGAGGTCCTCTGCGGAGCGAATGGACCCCAAGCATGCTACCGGACGTGCTGCAGCCACATCTTCTGCGTACGTGGACGACCATCGGCAGGAACATGCGCCCATGCAGCACGATGTAGGAGCGAGACGCGATGAAGCACTTCCGCGATGGCAACCTCATCTGCCCTGCTTGTGGCGAAGGTACACCCCGAATCCCATTCCCCCCTGGTCTTGACGCGACGATGGCCTGTAGACCTCAGCCAGAGGTACCTAGAGCTCTCCCTCCTCAAACCACAGCATGATGGCGAACGAATTGCACAGACAGGGAAGCGTGTGCGAAATGTACGACGCCAATGATCCCCGTGTGATGGTGCTTGATGGACGATGTCACGCTCAGCACTGTAAAGAGCGCAACGGGACCGCGGGTACGACCCCACGAATGCATATCTCATGGTAGCAACGACGTATGGTGCTGTATGTGTAGCGTCTCGAGGTGTTGCGAATGCATTGACTCCGCGTTCATTGACTTGATGCATGATGCGCTGCAAGATCATCTGGGAAGAGATGCTCGCCGATCCCGTGTCCTGCATGGGTACGTGCCCTTTACCGACGCGGCCGTGCATTGGACGAATGGTGATGCTGTTTAGCGCAAATCCAAGAAGCGATGCGCTTCCTCATGGTATTCTGTTGGTGCGTACGGGCAATGCTCATGCTCGCGACATGTAGTTCCAGCAAGCCCAAGAAAACTACCGGTACGGTTGCTATGCAGCATTCCTTCTTCAACGGCAACTGTATTGATAGACAAGTACGTGCACCAAGTCTCTCTTAGCGAAGCTCTAACGATGGGCAAGGAACGCATGCACAACGAATTGAGTCTGCAAGTCTGTACGAGCCAGATTTTTACCGATGATGCTAGTCGACGAGCACAAGGAGTACCAGCAACAACACGGGCAGCGCTACTTGCAGATGAAGAGCTACACGGAGAAGCTCGAGGAAGAAATTAACGAGCTCAAGAACAAAATGGTCGTGCTCAACAACACCGTCGAAGAGACCCGCGAGGTACAATTTGTCGTACGGACCGAACCCTAACCCTTTTCCAACTAGTCGTTCAAGGACAAGGCGCGCTTGTGCCGCAACTACGAGAAAATGGTATTGTAAACCAAATGATGTGATAGTAGGTTGGTGACGAATGTCGTTTTAGATCAAGGGTATGAAGGCGCAGCAAGAAGGCAACGGACAGCGCGTCATGACGGCACAACCCTCGGGCCGAATGCCGCTGAACGTCGCACCGTCGCCCAAGTTTGCCAAAAGCATCTCGTCAATGCAGTCGTCATCGCTTCGCCAGCACACGTTTGATCAGCCCGCAACGACACAGCATTCAGCGTTTGCAATGCAAAACGAGTCGACCTCGTCTCGCTATGCTTCCAGTAGGGTGTTGGCTGTTTGTTTCTTTGGGTATATACGATATGATACTAGATGCGATGGCGCGCCCAAGCTCGTCCTTCCGCGGCAACGCGTCGTTCGCACCTCCTCCAAGCAATGCAGGGGGCATGCTCACACGCTCCAGCAAGAGACGTTTCAACAATTGATCCACGTCGGTGATGGCCTTCTAAACTTAGTCGTGCCGGGACTGCGGCCGTAACATTTGAAATGCATCCGCTTGCTCTATCGTCGTCGCTTGTCAAGGCTACTGCACCGTTGTTTGCTCTACCGAGTTTGGCAAACGGCGATGACGACTACGATGTGGGTATTGGCCCCACGCTTACTGAGGTCCCCGTGACGTTTGACAAATCAGCCGTCGAGTCGATCATCTTTGACTCGGGCATTGTACTTCAGTTTGCACAGCACGGCGTGGAGCTCGAGGATACCCTTTTCTTGCAGCCTGATTTATGTACGCTCGACGATTGGCACCGCGAAGTCGACGAGCGTGTCCAGCCCAACGCCCTCGAGCAGCTTTCGGACCGAGAGATTGACGATCAAATCACGTCGCTCCTCACCAACATGGACCCAAAAGAGCACTACTTGAACGCTGCCGAATACTACTTGGATCATCCCAAGGAATATGCGGAATTTTTCAAGACGCCGCTGGTCGTCCAGTCGTGTCACTACCTCGGCATTGACAGCAGCGCGATTCCACACCGGTCGCTCCAATCCTTCAAGCGTCAGCCCGACAGGTATCGTTTAAAGTGCTCTCGCTTTTCAAGTGTCTTGTCTATAGCGCTGAGGCCGTGCCCGACTTGGTGCTCAAGGCTCGCTACGACGCGTACCGTCACGAGTGTCAACTGTGCATCGCCATCATCTTGCAAACGCAGCAGCTCATTGCCGCCAAGCTCCAGCACGGTCACGTGGGTCCTTTACCACCAGTAGCACAGGTCCAGAGTCGTTTTGATGCTGCGAGTGATATGCTCAGTCATTTGGTAGGCAAGGCGCAAGAAGCCCCGGACGCGACCTGTGGTTCGCATTTTATCGTCGCCAGAAGTCACTCATCGTGTCGCAGGATGAGGTGCAGCCACCACGCGTGTACGACGACGCCAAAAACCGGGAAGAGCTCCAGCGCATGGACATCATGAAGCACGCCAAGCTCCTCGAGAACGCCGAGCGATGGAAAGAGACGCAAGCCAGTATCCACAAGGCGTCGGACCGCCGCGTCGCTGCACGCGAGGTGAGGTTTGCGTTGATACATCATAGTATGGCAACAAATGCTCAGGCGGCCGAGCTCGCGTTCAAGCAAAAAGAGTTTGAAAAAGACGTCAAACTCAAGAGCTACGATGCCGTCGCCGAGCAAAAGACCCGACGGAAATTGGTATTCTAGCCTCCGTCGGTCCATCGTAGCTGCTTGACATTGCGAGTTGTAGATCCTTGACAATTTTCGCAACCATGTTGACAGTAGTGAGCCATTCGACCAAGCTCACCTGGATTGTAGACGCCAGTGCAGTTGAAACCCCACATGAAGGAAGAAGCTCGGCTCGTCAAGGAAGTATTTTTCGATGCATTATTATTGTATGTGCTCGATATGACAGTCGTGTCATGCAATAGCTGCACAACCTGGATTTGGACGAGCACTTGCGTCGGGCGGCGCGTATCAAGCAAGCACACGAGTACCGCAAGCAGCACGTGCTCGACAAATCCAACCGAAAGCTCGAGGTACCGCGTCTTGCTCATGTGGCCTGTAATGGACCGATTCCAGCGTCTACCGCCACGCCTCGGCCCGAGCAGCGCCTCGAGCGGGCCACCTCCTTCGCGCTAATCTGGACGGGCGGAATGGATATATTACAACTGCATGTAATCGACTTTGCCGGACCGGTGAAAGTGATGCGTGCCCGCAACGTCGCGAAGAATCTTTTGAATGCGATCGAGGAGGTGGCTCGACGACGTCGTCGCTTGGTGCTTGGCCGCGCGGTCCGAGACATGGACGAGCATCAGCTGGGCGTGAATGCCCTCGACCTTCTTGCGCACGTGCAGTAGCTCCTTCTCCATACCGCGCTGGTCCATGGTGCGCAGACACCGGTCGTCGTAGATTTGCACTTCGTAGCTAAAGATCACTTGGGCCCACTCGAGGAGCTGAAACTCAAACGGCGCGACCGCCGAATTCCGCGCGCGCGCGCGCCACGCCGCGACGAGCTCCGTCGCGACCTTCCGGATCTACCTCGAGTGTCAACAACAATACAATTGTAGCAACAAATCGCTGCACCGTGTCGTGGAGGTCATTGCACGAGTAGCTGCGCTGGCTGCGCGCTGGCGCGTTCTGCAAGAGCAAGAGGTGCTGCAGCTTATATATATCCGAGAGCCGAGAGAGCGGCGAGTACGTGTCACGCGCGCGCACAATCTCGACATCGGTCGCGTCGGCCATGTCGTCCCAGGACAGCACCGTCGTCGACGCCTAATGCAATACTAATAGTCAGCGTCCGTCGCTGCCAAGGAGCGTTGTACCGACAACCGGTCGACGTATGGAATATCGTCGTCGTCGTCGTCGTCGAGGTACCGGATCGCCATGTCTTCGTCCTCGTCCAGCGACGGCAGCCGGGAGAGACCCTCGGTGGCGCTCGTCGGTCGCAGTGCCGGGTACGATGTCTTGCGCGGGGCCGCCTCGAGCGATGCACTGCGCGGGCGCGGGGCTAACGCAAGCATCGAGAGACGCCCCGGCAGGCGGACGCGGTGTGCAAACATACTACTACTGATACAACGGCAAAGTGAGAGTGTGAGCCAGTCGGCGGCAGGTATAGGTCATGCACGACGGCCGATGCCAATTGGCGAGAAACCAGCAGGCGTCGCAGGTCGTGTGTTCTGTGGCTACTTGGTATTTGGCGCCAGATGACTCTGCGGACGAAGCTAGTCGAATGGCAACCTTCCGCGGCTACTACAGCACTGTGCCTGCCCCTCGGCGCCTGCAGGATCGAGAAGGTTGCTGGCAAAGGGTTGCACGTTCTCCGCTGCGACGGTCCGGGCTTCTCATGGTCGACAATCCCACCTATCGTGTGCGCCAAAGTCACTGCGGCGCTGGTCAACAAGGATCTCGACCCGAATGCCAACCAAAGACTACTGCATGTTGCGAGGTTGTCGCGAGCCAAGAGGAATTTTACAGTGATCCCCTTTATTGCGCGTTTTTATCGACGACTGTAGTTCCTTTACTAGACAAACTAGATGACGGTGTTGTTGAGCGTTCAGACATCCAAGGAAATGAGAGCCTCTCTCAGCGAGACGGGTGGCAACCCGTTGCTGTCAGCAGAACACTGCGAATGTTTAAGGGAAAATGTATCATCAGCACGCTCGGGTCGTTCAGAAATGCAGCGGAAATACTCAGTTAAAGAATGGAATGTGTTTGTCGTATCATAATCCGAAGATTCAAACGACGCGCATGAAGTTTCTCATCATAGTATTCTAGACACTAGCGGAATACATATACAATAGACGATTGCGCTCAGACATCCAAGGAAATGAGAGCCTCTCTCAGCAGAACGGGTGGCAACCCGGTGCTGTCAGCAGAACACTGCGAATGTTTAAGGGAAAATGTATCATCATAGCGCACACACAAATATACAAATGCAAACCGATAAAAAACGTGGAGGGTACGTACCATGGTGGCGAGCCGTGTTGAGAAACACCGATAAGCTTCTTACGTCAAGGGTGTCGTGGAGAACACGACATGAGTGATCCCCGTTGGGTTAACCCGCTGGCTGTCGCACGACGTCGACGTTGCCAGGGGCCAATTGCATAACTGTGGTATGACGATCAGACTTCCTTCATCAGCACGTGCTCCAGCACCGAAGTGCCATCTCCGCAGCGTCCAAAAGAAGCGGTCTGCCGTTATGGCCGGCACTTGCTGCCCTACGGTCCGGGGAATTTCCCCAAGCGTTCGCTTGCCATCGGCAAGCGGCTTGACTTCGCAATTCTAAATCGTGTTCTGAGCTCCAACGTTCAACGCGCTCAAACGCGCGGTCGAATCCCACCATTCATTTCACCCGTCAAAAGCCGGATTCCACTTTTCCTACAAAAACCAAGTTCGAAGCTCTTTTTGGTTTAAGAAACCAAATCGACACTTTGACGCTACCGGTTTTGCGCCCAACGATTGGCTGCTGGAATAGATCGCGACCTCTTGGCGATTGCATGCCATGGAATTTTCGAGAAATCCGATCTTGAGGAGGCGCGATGGGTGGCCACGACGACGACCGTTGCCGACGGTTGGCTGTCGCGTTCAAGTATTTGCATCCGCCCTGCGGGCGTTGCAGCAACGTACTTCCGCCATGGGACGCGCCGCCGCTGTCGTAACCAGTAGAGGAATCGGAGAGGCTCTACGAGACCAAACGGTCGATGGCCCTCATGCAGAGGACGAGGCTGCCCATCAACGCATACCTGCATGTGTGCTTGCATAATACAGGATCGCAAGACGGAGCACACGCACATCGTAACTGAGGCATCGACGGGGTGTAGACAGTCTTTGAGCAAAAGCTGCTGCATCATGGCATTGAAGCGGGTGTCGGTGATGCGGCGTCCAGCTAGAGTCCATAGTACATGCCAGTGTCGCGTGTGTGAACCAAGGCACACGTTCTAATGGTATTGCTGATTGCTGCACAGAGTCGTCCATAGAGTAGTTTCACATTGTATTCCCGTGCCGCGGCTCGTCTAATACGATAATACGGAGAGGCGATTAGACCCACGCGTACTTTTCGTTGCCGATCCATTCGAGCGCCACTTCGGTCGCGTCCGGCAACGTTTGCACGAGCAGCGACGCTAGCGAGTCGTCGCGCGCCTTGTTGTACGCGCGGAGCTCTGTCGGGAGCTCTGCGTTCCACACAACAATCGACTTGAGCTGCCACGCGGCCGCTTCTTTGGCCGCAAGCGACAAGAAGGCCCATGCGTTCTCGGCCTGGACGTTCCAATGCAGCAAGACGAGTTGGTCGTCGCGAAAGTTGTGTGTCCACAGCACGGCGTCGGTGACCTTGCCGTTGGCGCCGACCTTGTAGCCGCCGAGCAACGACGGAAGCGACGACAAGTGCTTGAGCGTGTGGCCGTAAAAGTGGCTTCGCGCCGCGAACCACTCGATGCAGCTCGCGGTCACGACAAAGGCGCACTGCCCGGGCCGGAGCGACGCATCCAGTAGGCGCTGCGACCCTTGGGCTGCGTGCACGAGCGCGGATGGCGAGTCGATCGAGTAGAGGACGGCCGAGGCTGGTGACGCTGCTGGTGGCACGATCGCGGCCACCGGGATCGTTGCCTCGTCCGACCGATGCACGCGCCAGCCCTTTGTCGCATAGTACGTCGGGCCAATGTCCGAGTAGAGGTTCGAGAGCACAAAGCTTGTCGATGCGGCGCGCAGCTGCGCCACGACCAGCGCGAGCATGGTCGTCGCATACCCCTTCTTGCGGTGCGCCACGGGCGTGTAGACCGACCCGATGCTAAAGCCATCGACGTAGACCTTGGGCGAGGCGGAGGCGGGGTAGACGACGCTCGGGCGGCGAAAGACTTCGACATACGCGAGGATGTCGCGCGTGTCGGGGTCGGCCGCCGGCACGAGCACGTAGCCCGTGAGTGTCTCCTTGGCGAACGCCGTGTCGCGCAGCCGGGCCTCGCGCTCGAGGTACTGCGCGAGGCTCAGGTGCGGCGCGCCCCACGAGCTGTACGTGTGCACGTCCGCTTCGTACAGTTGGTCCGCCGTCGCGACCTTGAGCACGAGGTTCGCCATCTTGTTGTGAGGATCTTGACCGAACAACGATGATGGCCATGGTATTTCTTTTTCAGCCAATCCGAACGCGTCAAGTGGCAGAACGCGATGCCATTCGCTGAAATCTCTCACGTGAAATAGTGTGTTGTTGCTGCGCTATCGACATCCTGCACGCCGAGCCCGCATGGAATCTTTTGCCGCGCGCACAGAGGCAGCTACATATGCCTCGCGTATACATACATGCCCGAACTTCACGGTGACCGCGCCGTGCGTGTGTTTGCGATGCACCCGGTCATGAAGGTACCACATGAAATAGTGTGCGAAACGGTATCTTGCGCTCGATGGCCAGCTCGAGCGCGGTCGCAGCGTACATCGCGGTAGGCCCAGCACGACCTCGCCGCTCCTGCCACCTCATGTGGTAGGCCACAGAGGTCCAAGACGAGGTGAAGCGCTTCTTCTCTAAGCTCTTTGCGTCCACGCAGCTACCGCCCAACCCATACCCGATGCTCCTCGACCACTTTCGTCGCCTCGAGCCGTCGCCAGCCATCATGTCGACGCAGGAAGGACCGACGACGCATGTGCCAACGACCTCGAGCAGCCTTTCCTTCGCATCACCGGCGTCCAGCGGACAGTTTATCGCTCGTGCACACATGGCCGCGGTACGAGTCGTCCTCCTCGGTCTCTCGGCCATGGTCCTCGCTACAGCGCCTCGATGTCGAAGCGCTCGGGCGCATCTACGCCGCGCTCAACGCGTCGCGCCTCGTCACACTGTACAAGACGACGACGACCGACGACGCCTACACGACGACTCTCTTTGTCGTGCTCGTCGGCCGCTCGGTCTTTGCGGGGCCGCTGCCGACCATGCGCGCGCCACTCGAGCTGCAGCAGGTGCGCAATGGCACTGAAGCGCCGCCTCGGATCTCACCTTCTTCTAGCACATCGTCGTCCAAGGCGAAAAACTCGAGAAGGTCATCGCGATCTTTGTGGCCTGTCTCGCCAAAGACGTGGCAATGACCACCGCCGAGAACGTAGTGCTACGCTCTCAAATCCCATCCACGACATTGTAGGCTCTCACACGCGGTGTCGTCGTCACGATCCCTGCGTACAAGTCGTCGGACCGGGCCACCGAGAAGGCCTGGACCCACGAGAGGGTGAGCGCGTCGCGCAGCGCCTTTCGGAGCGCTGTCAAGGCCGCTGTCATCGCCAAAGCGCGCATCTACATGTGCGTTTACGCGCCGCCGACCGAGAACGTACGCGGCGACCGAGCAAACGCAGAGCGATACTACTGGGTGTAGGAGCACTGCATCTGGCGCATCACCAAGGAGTACATTCTGCACCATGACGCGACCACCACCGTCCACTCCTTTTGTGACGATGCGAGCCTCGTGCTCGCAAAAGGTGCACCAGGACGCTAGCGATGGCTTGTTGACGTCGGAGTAGGCGTCTTCTTCGACCCGGACGCGCTGCGCTTGTACGTGGCACGGCTCTGTACTGCGTGTCCCGAGCGCCTGCAACCAGATCGCATTTTACAAGCCTACGCCTCCCATGATGTCTTCGAGTGCTTTCAGGAGCTCTTGCTGCATGTGCTGCGGACGCCAGAGGCGCCGCCCCCACCTCTCCTCGAGAGCATTCTCGCGGTCACGAGCCAGCCGCTGCTGGTAACGCTCTCTCACATCGCCGAGTCGGTGCGACGCATCTTGGAGGTTGGCATGACAAAATAGGATGTGTGGACTGTACATAGTACGCGTAGGTTCTGGACCTGACCAACGACGTACAGCTCGTTGCTCCGATGCTACGTGAGATTGCTGTGAGCGTCTGTCGAGATTTTTTGGCGAGCGAGATAGCGAGGCGGTGTTGTAGGTGGACGGTCTCGCAGGAGCCGAGAGCTCCTTCTTGCCGCCGCTGCAGTCGTTTCTCACAGAGCACGTACTGCCGACCGTCGTTCATCTGCCCGACGTGCATGATGGAGAGTACGGAAGTGCGTATCCGCGCTGGCACAGCAGCTTGTACACCCTCCTCGGGCTCGTCGACGGCGTTGTGGCGAGCTTGGCGCGGTACAATGACGTGGCAGCACGACAGGTGAGAACACTATTTATGGTAGAGACATTGCGCTGTCGGAACGTGGTGTCGCCGCGCTGGACCATTTGAAGATGCTGCATACATCAAGTCTGCCTGCGGCCACTGAAAAGGCGGCGACGACGTCATTTTTTGGGATAAAAAAGAAAAAGGCTGCGAGCGCGCCGGCCCCGCGCACACCGGGTCCACCATTCGCATCGCCCATCGACGCGCTGTGCGTCGACGTTGTCGCCGAGAGCGAGATCGCGCTCGGGCAAGGGCGCTACCCGCGGGCCATCGCGACACCCGTCACGCAGCTGCAATACGTGGTGCGAGCGTGTATCAAGTTGATACAATATCAAATGTGTGGTAGGTCGACACGCGATTGGACGCAGCGCTGGAGACCGCACTTGTGCCCATCATGTACGAGCAAGCGTTGGCGCCAAGAAGAATCTATCCAACGCTCGTCCAGCGTCTTGGCGCCAAAGGCGCGTTCTTTGTTTTGTTCCAAGCTACAGTACAATCCAGATACCTCGGCCAAGCACGCGATTCTGACGTCGCTCTTGCCTAGGGCCCCGAGCTGCCCACGGCCATGCCTCTGTTCCGCCCTGCGTCACAGCTATCGACTGACAACCCAATGGCAGTGCAGTATATCGACGACCCGGCGCCGATGGCAGGCACTCGCCACGCGCTGGCACTGGCGCCGGCACTCGTCGCCGCCACGTGGGCGTGGCTCGCGACGGCGCCGTCGTTTCTCGGTGTGGAGGACACGGTCCCGTCGACACTTTTTTCTCTAAGTGTACGTGGCTGCTTTGAGTCGAGTATTCCTAGCGCTTCTTGTAGTCGAGAGCTGCGCTACAGGCCGACGCGACGTGGCTGGTACGTACTATCAACGTATCAACTTGATAGTTATGTCGGCGGTGCAGTGGTCGCACGGACACGTGGTCGCGTTCATGGAGCACATTGTGGTCGAGACCGTCGAGCGCAGCACCGCAGCGTCGACCAAAGCCATCGAACGCTTTAGCGACGCGGTGCTGCAGGACGTCTTGCGCCTCGTGGCGCGTTCTGGTGCGTCCATCTGATATGTTAGGATAAGAACTGAGCGCGGATTTAGATGTCCTCGTTGTCGCTCTGGCCATTGGCGACAACAAGGTCCTCGGGCCCAAGGACCTTCAGAGCCAGCGCGATCTCACGCGGCACTGGATCGAAAAAGCGGTGCGCGCGCTCGACCGCATCGCGCTCTCGCTCCTCGTCGACGCGCGCGTTGTCAGCAAAGCATACCTCTTGCACGTGGCCGAAGCGTCGGCATCGCTGCAAGCCTACACGACGCAGCCGCTGGGATTGTCGCAGGTCTTCACCACCGTGGTAGCTCCCAAGTCGAGCCTTCTGGATCGCTCACACGCCGTAGGCGGGTGCTCACCAAGTGCTCGGATCGACCCTTCGAAGGTCCGAGCCATCGACTGCACCGAGCCGCCTCGAGACGTGGACCGCCATGTACGCTGCAAGTGTCGAGACGGCACCTGTGATGGCCGATTGCATCCGTCGATGTCTCTGCTCGTCGGTGGTGACGCTTGCGACCGCGGTGGGTCACCGATCTGGTTGATGACGCTGAGTGCGTCGTAGGTGCGCCGGCTCGAGGCGCTCCTTGCTATCGCAGTCTACCGCACGGGCGACGCCTTGCTGCACTTGCGCCAATACTCAAGTGCATGGCTCAATGAGGATGTCGCCTCGGTCCTTCGCGCGCCTTACCTCGCTGCGTACGTGCAGCCGTGGGCCTCCGCGTACGATGGCCTCGTCACGGCGCTGCAAGCCAACGAGATGCATGACGACGTCGTGTCACGACTGCAGAGGCTGCGCGGCGTGCTCTTGTTTGTGTCGCTGCAGTGGCAGAGTGCGGTGGACGGTGCGATCGCCGAGGCGACCGCGCGCAGCGCATCCAACGCGAAATGTGCCAGTGGGTAGCGCCGGTATCTATCAATCAATCAATCAATCTATCTATCTATCTATCTATCTATCTATCTATATATCTATCTATCTATCTATATATCTATCTATCTATCTATCTATCTATCTATCTATCTATCTATCTATCTATCTATCTATCTATCTATCTATCTATCTATCTATCTATCTATCTATCTATCTATCTATCTATCAACCACGGGACATCCAGTACTGTCGCCATTATCGTCAGCTCAATCGCATCGTCACCGTGCCTGGCCGACGCTGCACCAATACTTGCCGGTCGTGAAGTCGACTCTGTCGTTGCGTCGGGCGTTGAGCGAACGGTGCAAGCGAACGCCACGCATGTGTCTAAAATGCAAACACCCACTTTGCTAACACATTACACGCAGGACAGGACATGCTAGATCTTATAACGCGGCCACGTCGGCGACAAGGTCGACGGCGTGAATCTCCCAGCTGTCAAGGTACCAGCACGAGATGGTGGCGGTCAGCGCACAGGATGCGCCACGGGGGACACCGAGTTCCTGAAGACGTTTGAAGAAATGGCCCGAGAGCGCGGCCTTGGCCGCCGCCACGTCGCGCACACGGATGGTCGCTTTGACGTGAGCACGATCTTGTGCTGCGCGAGGACCGTCTCGGTATGCGCAATGACTTGGTCCTGGACAATGAACGCGTCGCAGAGCAGATCGAGGGCGTGGGGCACACACGTCAAGCAGCGGCGAAGGCAGTTGTGCTTGAGCCCGTGCTTGGTCGAGAAGAGGCCGACGTGCCAGCTCGCTTTGCCGTCCAAGCAGCGCACGAGGTACTCGATCGCGATGAGGCGCGGCAGTGCCCACTTGTCGGCGGCGCTCGACGACTGCAGCTGCGCGTAGAGCTGAGCGGTCGCAGGGTGCGTGTGCGAAACCCCGCGACGCATCCGTGCATCGATCGTCGAGAAGAGGAAGTTTTGAAAGTTGGCCATCGGGACTTGGTCGGCTTCAATCGACATAGCGTGGTCGTGCAGCTCAAAGAGAGGCGTCTGTGCTGCTTCCAAGATGAGCTTGATCTCGTCCATTTCAAAGTCCAGGGCTGCGTTAAAGTCGGCGTCCAGCGCCGCGTCCGAAAGACGAATGGGCGCGAACTCGAGCGTGGTGCCAAGGGCTTCGTTGAACGACGACATGACCATGTGACTGGGCGGTGGCAAAGCACAATGAAGAATGACCACCGAGTCGGCAGGTGACGGTGACCCGTCCCAGCGACGGTGACCCGTCCCAGCGACGTCGCGGCAAGCGCCTTTTAGTACGCCACTTGGATCCTTGCATCTCCGCCACAATAAGCAATGGCAATCTTGAGTATCTTATTGTGCCTGTCTCTGTCAAGTACATTTCGTTGTAAAGTTGCCTCGTTTTCAGTGGACGCCAAAAAAGATGGGGGTTTTGTCTTGAAATGGACGTGATTCCGTGGTAAGTCAAGTTGAAGGGACGGAGCCATCTCGGTGGCCAATCAAATGCCGCGATTTGCCCCGTAATCTGTAGCCCTTTTAGCGCGCGCGCCAGCGGCCACGACGCCGCACCCATTCACTTACGGTATATTTGATCGAGTGCACTGTTCTCACAGAGATTGCGAGAGAGATGATGACATACAATTTTGAATCTTTCTGGACGCAGTAGTCTGACCGACACCCAGTATGCAACGCCCAGTATGTAGAGATGGCCCACCTCACACCCGTCTCAGACGTGTACCAACACACTCCACTAGACAATGGATTGAAAAGCAACATGCAAGCTATGACAGCGGCGCGTCACGCGTCTACTTGAGCACGACGAGCTCGGACGCCATGTCGCCCACAATCTGCACTGACTCGAGAGTGCCGAGGCCGACGAGCGACGGCGCAAACGTCAAGAAGAGGCGCTTCACGAGCACGTTGGGTACGCCTTTGACCGTGCTGTAGAGGTTGTAGCCCGCATCTTTGCCGACGCGGAGCTGGAACTCCTTGCCTACGTCAGCATCCTGAGACTTTCCAACTTACTTGTTGTAGATTTCTACCCCGGAGCATCGAGAACGCGACGAGAAAGACGCCTTGGCCAATCGCGCGCGTCGAAAACTCATACGTCGTGTTGCGCTCGATGGCCGAGAGCTCTTTGCTACGACCACGTTTCGAAAATATCTACTTGATAGCTTGATACCGCGGGTTGTTCTTCTTCTCAAACATGATCCACTCGGCGAGAAGCGGCTCCTTGGGGTGCAGGCGCAGCGCGTCGTCGTGCGCGCGCAAGTCGACGTTGAGCTTGAGCACGAGCGCGTTCCGGTTCGAGTTTTTGTGCACGAGAAGGCAAAACATCGGCTCGATCTGCTGGCACACCACGTACACTATCCGGACAGTTGATACAGGATTGATACTTCGATACCATGAACCTTTGGGGTCCACCGCCGCGTCGCCCTGCGTGTCGGCGAGGTGCAGCTCGAGGGCCTTGAGCCCGTCCGCGGAAACAAGCGGGCCCAAGGCCTCGTAGTGGGCCGCGTCGAACGAGCGCTGTAGATGCGCTTCCACCGCGCTGAGCTCGGCGGCGTGGCGCAGAAGCAGCGTGCGCGCCGGCCGCACAAACGACCTATCGCACGAATGATATCCCCGTGGTATAGTGCAATATAGAGCACGGTACCCAAAGAAGCGGCGGTAGTCCATCTGCAGCACCATCGTCACGTGGCACGCGTTCTTCTCGGTGGGACGGATGACATACCCTTGCAGGATGCAGTCGACGCGACGATGCCGCGACGTCGCGGGCATGTCGCTCACGGGCGCAGGAACGGTCACGATGACAATGGTGCCGTCCGTTTCCAGTCTACACACATACCGACATTCCAACCAATGAAGTATTAAAAAAGACAGCGCGCACCGCCAGCTCTTGAGGCTAAAGAGCTCTTCGTACGGGCAGCCCCAAAACGTCCGGTACAGGCGGTGTTCGACCCAGACGTGATTTGACTCGCGGCGGAGAATGGCCCCGTGCACCAGGAACGGGTTGGCGGTCGCCGCCAGCGCCGAGCCCGGGTGCGCCGTGAGGACGTCAAAGACGGCGCGTGCTGGGAAGGAGAGCGTCGTCGTGCGCTTGAGCGACATGAACCCGTCAATCGTCTTTTCAAACAGACTCTCGAGCGGCGACGCGGCGTGCAGAAGCGTCCAGCCCGGGCCCGACGAGAGCACCTTGAGCTCTAGCGACCAGTTTAGGCACTCTACTGGCGGCGACAGTGTACCGTGCATGGCAGCGTGGACGTCCTTGGCGGCCGGGAGTCCAAGAAACGTGTTGAGCACATGCAACTGCGTCAACGTCCGCTTCGCCGCCGGTCCAGCCGACGACGGGTTCAAGAGCATGTCGATGGCCGCGACGATGAAGCCTGGATAATGCAGTGGATAAGTGGCTGGTTCCCATCGTAAAAGTATTTGGTGTTGGATGATGTGTGTACCTTCCAAACCCACTTTGCGACGGAGTAGGAAGCCATCCGAGAGACTGCGCGTCTGCTGGCAGTAGAGCTTGGGCGGCAGTCGTTGCTGCAGCGCCGACGACGGGTGCATCGCATAGAGCGTCTCGGCGAGCGCATGGAACTCGCGGTACCGGCGCTCGACGCTGAATTCGGGACCGTTGGGCCACAGCGTCGTCACGATCACGTACGCTGCGTAGCCCTCGGCCGTGACGAGCACTTTCACGAGGCGCGCCTGGATCAACGACGCCCACTCGGTGACCGACGACCGCGGCGACTTGGCTGCCGACGTCATGCTCGGACGAGATACTGCGATGGGCGGGACCGGCGGCAAGACCTCGTGCAGCTTGAAGCCCGTGTCGGCGCGCGAGAGCAGCGGCCCCGAGCAGTCGTGGTCGCCGAGGTCATCGAGGTGTACGAGCCGCTTGCACGACTTGCACAAGATGCTGTCGGGCGCCGACTCGGTCGTTGCGATACCTGTCATCATAGTTACTACGGTAGCCTTTCGGGCGTGACCCTAATTTTAGTGCGGGGTAGGGTTCACGCGTCAACGTACCGTCTTGGCTAGCGACGTTCCCTGGGCCAACCCCACATACTTCAAGGAATATATGTTATTGCCAGCTCCTCCTCTAATCTTCCCGGCGTCCTCGGCCTGCGGTGACGTAGCAACATGTTGATCAACACAAAAAGACGCGTGCGTTTAACTTGTAAAAACATACGAGTATGCCAAGGTACATGGAGGACATAGCGTCTACTTGAGCTCGCGCATCTTCTCTTCGAGCGTCGCCGCCCACGAGTCGTAGTTGTCGAGGATGGAGCGCGACTGCTCCGAGACTTCGTCGCCAACCACGGGCGGAAACGGTGGCGCAACGACGGCCTACATGGGGATTCAGGCGCGTTCATATGTGTGCGGGCAGACGCACCGGGGGCATCTCGTTGACGGTCGGAAGCACCGCCGCCGCGTCGACGAGCGCCGCCACGGGCAGATCGAGCTGCGGCGACGTCTGTCGACGCAACTGCCGCGCGATCGACGTTGGCGGTGACACGTCCGGGGATGTCGAATCGGGTGCCGGTGTCGGCAACAACGTCGTGTTGCGCCGCGCTGGGCTCCGCGTCGACATGCCAAGGTCCGGCTTGAACGTGCAGCCCTGCCACCGGATATGTCAGTTGTCCTCGCGTGTCGGTGGTACCTTGGCTTCGTTAACTTCCTTGAGCCGCTGGCGCTCCTCCAGAATGTGCTTCTTATCGTTCGAGAGGCGGTCCCAGACCGGCTCGGTCGGTGGCTCCTTGAGCTCGATCGACACTTGCGGGTGGAACGTGCACTCTTCCATCTCTCGCTTCAACCGTTCTTGCTCGGCGAGGCTCAGCTGCTCCAATTTCTTGAGGCCTTCGTCATGGAGGCGCTAATATATGCCACGTCGACCACGCGTTCCTTTTCATAACAAAAGGGACCTCGAAAATGCTGCCGTGGCGCTCGGGGATCGACACGAGCGACGACTCGATGGACGGTTTGAACGGAAACGATTCTTGCTCAAGCTTCTTGCGCTCGCGGTCGGCTTGCTGCTGCACAAGGTACTCCTTGTCAAAGAGGCGTTCGTGGAAGGGCTTGTCGTCTGCGAGTGCTTTGGACGACTTGGTCTCGATGATTTTGGGCCGGAACGTCGCTTCCTTGAGCTTGCGCTCGTCCTGCTCTTTCCGCAGCGCCTCGAGACGGTCTTCCTTCTTGCGCTCGCTTTCTTGCATCCGGTCCAGAAAGCTCTTTTCGTCGGCTTTGACCTCGGTCCCCGACTTGGTGCGCTGGACGGCCGGGCGAAACGTGCACTCGGCCATCTCGAGCTGCTTCTTCTTGGCTTCTTTTTCCAGTCGCTTGAGACGCTCGCGCTCCGCGTCGTACAGCGGTCGGCTCTTGGCCGGCGATTTGCCCTTGAGTTTCTTAATCTTGGGCTGGAAAGTGCACTCTTCGGCCGTCTTGGCTTCCATCTCGAGCTGTTTTTGCTTGCGCCGCGCCGCGAGCTCCAAGTGCTGCGCGTACAGCTCTTCGTGGCGCCTCGTCGGCTTGCCGTCGACGCTTCTCGGACTCAATATCGTCGTTCTCGTGTCGTCGCTGTCGTCTTTGCGCGCTTTGCGGAGACGGAGTTTGAGCGAGAGGCGCCGGGATTTCTTGGAGATTTCCGGCTTGAACGAGTACTCGGCCTGGGCCGACTGCTTCTGGGCTTCCTTGCGACGCGCGAGCTCCTTTGCTTGGTCGTGCAGCATGTTGAACCGGTCCTTGTCCGACCCGTTCGAGGTGACCGACGACGGTCCGCTCGACGCAATCGCGTCCGACGAGGTGAGTTTGATGTGGGGTTTGGTCGTGTTGGGCTTGAAAGTGCACTCCTCCGGCGCTTGTGTCGAGAGCTCGTCGCGCTTGTGCTTGAGCTCCATCGCTTTCGTGTACAGGCGCGCCGACAGCGCGTCCTTCTGCGTCGGCGACATGGACTTTCGTTTGAGATGCGCAAACGAGCTCGGCGCGGCCTTGGCTCCCTTGGCGTGTGCGATTGGCGGCGTCGCCATGGCGAGCGGCGATGGCGGCGGGATCATGGACGGCTTGTCGGGCTTGGACACGGACGGGATCTTGGTCGGCGAGTTGAGGAGCGTCTTGATCTCGTCGACCATGGCCGAGACCTTGGACGACGCCGGCTCGGGCGCATCGATCGTTTCGATCTTGAGCTCGCCGAGGCCCTCGACCACGGCCGCGATCTCGGACTTGGTGCTCGTCGGCGCAACGGCCGCGTCCTTGGCCTTGTCCATCTCCATGGCCACCGCGTCCATGGGCGCGATCTGCTCCGTGGACGTCGGCGACTCGAGACCTGCCGGCGCGTCGGCCATGGCGGCGACGTCCAGGGCGGCGACGTCCAGGGCGGGCGGCAGCTTGGCGGGCAGCGGCGCGATCGCGACGTCGTCCATGCGCCTGCGTATTTTGCCAAGTGAACACGGCCATGCTTGGCGCCGTATCCGGACACATCCGGATACGAACAACAGAAGAATACGCTGGAAACGCTCGCGTGCATAAAAATATCAGGAAGTGACTTGCGAATTGTATGGAGCTCGGACACTTTTGCGACGACGGTACCGAAAAAGAATAAAAATACGACAAGGTTGCGCGCCTTTTTAGCTCGCGTAACCGACGGTTTTGAAAAACGAACCAATCAGCGCACGATTACGACGATGGTCGATCCTCGAGACCCGTCGTCGTCGCCACAACGACGGCCAAACGACTCTCAAACGACTGCGACGACGGTACCGGCGACGGCACCGGTGGTTGCGCTGGACCGTAGCACCCGTGCTACGATTGGTGGCTTCTCGAAACTTGAAGGCGCCGTCTCTGGCCACTCACTACTCGACCGCTTCAAGCACTTGATGGTGGCGGTCGACGGTCCGAGGCGCGCCAGACGAATGGTGCGGGATGCTATACGTCTGATTTGTTTGTGCACGGGCGCTGGGTTTGATCCGCGTGCCGGCTGGAACCGAGCAAAGGCATTGCGACCTGGCGCTTGGGACGAAGGGGATGGGTAGGTGACTGGCCTCAATCTTGGCGACGAAGTTGGCGACCGTGCTAGGTACCGTACTGTACAGTAGTAGTATCTGACAGCAGCGGGTGTGTGGCCGAGTGACTGCAGATGTAGGTCTGCAACGTGGGCTGCGTTGCGACGGTACAGTGCAGACGTCATCTGCGGTGACAGAAAACGCGCGTAAAAAATGGACAAGCTTCGGTGCTGGCATGCGTGAACCGTGCACAGCTTCATCTCTACAAGGTTTTATCTCGATCTCTCGCGGCCACTCGTACAACGCGTCAAACAGTACTTCGTGATATCGCTGGACCGACGACACACTGTAGTAGTTGGTCGGCATGATGACATCGTGACGTGACGCCATTATGCGCATTTTGCTTCGGTTAGCGTCGTGAACGAGTGTGAAATGTGATCAGAGGGCGGTACTTAACTTGACGCAGTCGTGCATCAGTTTGGCGCTGTTCATGCCAGCCGCACGGCTTTTGCAGGCTTGTATCAGCGCGCCCACCCGGTTTCGCATCGCATTCGCCGTCGTGCAAGGTCACTTTTTAAAACGCATTTTTTTACTCTCTATTTGTAATAGATGTATACTACCGTATATTAACAAAGGTGGAACTATGCATTTAAATGGCAACTAGGGCTGCTTGGACTTTCGCAGCGACCACCTGGAGTCACATGGAAGCGTTCGAAAGATGAGTACACACGCTGCCACGTGCCAGATTGCCTTTGCCTTTCCCGTTCAGATTTGAATTTGAGAGCATGCCGTCGCTTGTCATCCGCCTTGTATTAGCGCTGGCCCTCCTATGCGCGACCGTCGCTGGCCATGTCCAAGCCGACGTCCGTTCGCGCAAGGTGCCTCTGCGCGGCGTGAACCTCGGCGGCTGGCTCGTGGCGGAAAACTGGATGACACAGGACGCGTCGATTTGGAACCACGTACCGAGTCACGAGTGCGAGCACGGCGAGTACCATGCGATGAAGGCGCTCGGGCACAAGGGCCAAGCTGCTTTTGATCGCCACCGCAGCACGTTCATCACCCAAGCCGACGTTGAAGCCGTCGCCGCCGCCAAGTTCAATACCGTCCGCGTGCCCGTCGGGTACTGGATCCAAGGCTGCGATCACATCACGAACGGCACGCTCAAAAAGCAGGTGCAACATCTCTTTTCAAACATGAGTTGCGTCTCAACATCATCCAGTGCGAGGTGTATGCCAAAGGCGGTCTTGCGTACCTCGATGTGCTCGTCAAGGAGTGGGCGCTCAAGCACAACGTGGCGGTGCTTCTGAGCCTCCACGGCGCGCCCGGTTCGCAGAACGGCAAGGACCACAGCGGCGTCGTCGACGGTATGCAGTGGGGCGACGACGCGACGGTGGCTGCCACCAAGACGTTTGCCCACTTTCTCGTCGACCGGTACGCGCACGAGCCTGCGTTCCTCGGACTGGGTTTGCTCAACGAACCGTCCGCGGACGTCGACCTCAAAGTGCTCAAGCACTATTACAACGACATGTACCACGAGCTCCGCGCCAAGACCGACTGCATCCTCGTCATGATGCCGCAGCTCCAGCTGCAGCTCACGGGCCAGCTCGAGGACCTCGACAAGTCGATGCAAAACGTCTGGGTCGAGTGGCACCCGTACCTTATTTGGGGCTACGAAGACTACGACGAAGACAACCTTCTGCACAAGCACGGCGTCGACGACCTCACCAAGCGCATCGCGTCCTGGAAGGGCCATCCGCTGCTCTTTGGCGAGTGGAGCTTTGTGACGGCCAACGGCACCTTCAAGAAACTCGACGCGTTCCAGCCGTTCATGCACAAAATGCTCAGCACGATGAACGCCGCCGGCGCGGGCTGGACGTACTGGACGTGGAAGGTGGCGGGCGACGACACCATGTACGGCGGCCAGAACCGCTGGAGCATGCGCCAAATGCTGCACCGGTTGCCGCACGCGACGACGAACGACACACCGTCCGACCAGAACGCAGCCGCGCTCTCGTTCAGAAGCGGCGCCAACGTGACGGTGGCCACATCGATGCTGGCAACCGACGAGAACTGGGTTGCTTTCTTTGGCCCGCCGCCGGTCGAGCGCTGGACGTACGATACGACTACGCAGCAGCTCCGGTCGTCGGTCTCCGGTCTCTGCCTCGACGCCTCGTACGGCACCACGTCGGCCTACGCGGCTCTCGATATCAAGGGCTACCCGTGCCAGCGCATCAACTACAACCAAAAGTGGATTTTCCGCAACCACCAGCTCGTGTACCGCCCCAACAGCAAGTGCTTATCGGCGTCGACTACGACATCGCTGACGCTCGTTGACTGCGACGCCTCGTCGCCCGACCAGACGCTCCATATTATCACCGACGGTAGCAAGAACGACAGCACGAACGGCAGCAGCAGTGGTAGCCAGGACGGCAGCAGCAGCGGTAGCCAAGACGACGAGACCGTGCGCATCTTTCTCAACTCGACCGGTGCCCGCCTCGTGCTGTACCGCAACGAGACGGTCCAGTTTCGCGCGCGCAAGTACCCGTACGATGGCGGCGTGTGGCTGCTGCGCACGGTTGACGGGCTGCTGCAGCACCACGCGTCGGGCCTTTGCCTCCAGAGCGACGACGACACCAAGCGTATTGCGCTCGCCGCGTGCGACGACAACGACATGAGCATGCAGTGGGCCTACGACGAGAAGACGCTGCGGCTCATGCACGGTGACCGGGCCTACTGCTTGGACGCCCGGCGGCCGATGCAGCCGACGATCGCCAAGTGCTCGCGCGCTACTTCCCAGCGCTTTTCACTGCAGCAAACAGACCAGTAGAAACAGTCTACGTTGTCGTCCTTGTGACTAATAACTTAAATCCATCCCGTGGCCGTGGTCATGGAATTTTGATGCCAACGAGACTCTTAACGTGTCTGCGGTCAGTCCTCATGCAATACCCCTGTCCTTCATCAAGTCTTGTTCACGTAAATGCAGTATAATGCGACAGTCTATGAACAAGAGTTGATTTAGGACACTATGATGTACGTCTCGCCGTAGAGCATAGTAAGGTACTTGTCATGCTGCGCGGGACACATCGCGCTCCTGCCATCAATTGAGCACCGTCGCAGCGGAAATATCCAGTCGCGCGGGACGTTAAAGTGCCACGCATCGGCGCAGTACTTGCACGTCCACCAGCAGCCCGACGTGACGGGCCCGAGCATCTCGACCGTCCCGTTCACAAAGGCGTTGGCCGACGGCAATAGCAGCGCCCCGACCGTACCATTAGCGGTGGAAAAGGAGCTGTTGGCCGGCTGCTGCGACGGCAAGAACTCAAAGACGTCCGTGTACAGCCCCGTGTGCTTGTCGACAAACCGTCCTGGAAGATACCAGTACGGGCCGTCCCGGTACAGCGGACTGTCGCGAAGGAAGAGCTCGTAGCGCGGCAAGAGCGTCGAGAGATTTGTGTGCCGCAGCTCGTTCATCGAGGCTTGCGTCAAGCCAATGTCGGCGTCGACGTCGTGGGGAATGATGTCGCCGCCGCGGACTGCGCCGAGGAGCGTGCCGCTGTCGAGCCAGTACTCGATACCGTGGTGCTCCAACGCCCGAGTGATTTCGAGCAGCATGGTTCGAATGCGGGCGCGGCGCTCTGAGACGGGGTAGCACTCGGTCTTGTTGACGTAATCTTCGACCAAGTGGCCCATGTTGTGCACGGCGCAGTCGACCTTGCCTTCGGGGTCTGTCGGGTACACGTTGCCATGCTGGTCGGTGACGAGAGGCACGGGCGTAGGCGACGTCGTCGGTGGCGGCGTCGGGGCGTCCGTGACCGGCTCTGGTGTCGATGTCATCGTTGTTGTCGGAAGCTCCGTGGTCGGCTCGGGTGTCGGGGCATCACTGGCCGCCTTAGGCGTGGGCTCTGGCGTGGGCTCGGGTGTCGGAAGCGCCGTGGTCGGTGCCAGCGTCGGCGCTTCAGTCGTTGCGACCGGAGTCACTGTCGGCGTCACTGTCGTTGGCTGGACCGTGGTTTCGACTGCAATCGTCGGAAGCGGCGCTGACGGCGCTGAAAACACCTCGTCGATCTCGAGCTCTTCCGTCGGAATCAAGGGCGACAGCATCTCGGGCTCCGTGACGAGCTCTGTGTTTTGGCCCGACGACCCTGATGCGAGCTGACGCTGCTCGATTGTGCCCGTGCCCAGGACGTAGCCGACCTGGAAGCTGCTCAAGTTGGCGACGGCGACCAAGACGAGACATAGGAGCAAGCGCAGACTTGCACGTCCCGAGTTGGCCACGCCGAGCTCCGTGATGCGATGTCCCGTGGTCATGATGGAAAATGTACACTGAGCCGAGGCCAACAATTTAGTACCAGCTATCAGTGTAGCTATCATAGTCCTTGGCCCAGCGCTCACGAAGCACACCCAAGCACCCAGCTATCACCCGCGATCGTATACTACGAGCTACACCTCGCACCCACGACACTTGGTCCATGCAGTAGCGAGTGCTGTAGCATGTGCGAACCTTGACCCCGCGATCGCGGCGCTCGGATGCCGTGCGGCAAGAGTCGTCATTTTACTGGTTCGATGCCACCGCATTGAACGCATCGTCGTGGAGGAATGCGCCATTGAGGCGGTCGGCGCTTCATCGTGAGGCGCCATGCATGATTTTCAGTGCATCGTATCCTTTGTCTGTGCGCTACCAATGGGCTTTCATACGTGTACGCACCCTTCTATCTCGTTAGGGAGAGGGACGGAGAACTAAGTCGCGTCGGTTGCCGTGTTAAAACACCTATTCTTTACACACACTTTGGGTTGCTTTAATGGCCAGTCGAATTGTGTGTAACTATCCAAGGCTGAAGGTACGCATGGTGAACGGACATGTCTACACCAGTACGAAGAACGTTTCAATGGCTTCTACAGTAGTACAACTATGATAGCAAGACCTGATAGCAGACTCATCGCTGACACATGTGTTGAGGTGTGCAAGTTGAGACACTAGAATTGCAAGAGTCGCGCCCGTGATTGGGAAGGGCGTTTCGAGCTCTTGAAGACCGACCCGATTCGATGTCATCAGACGCGCCACAAGTCTCTGAACGACGGCGTAGCAGGTGCAAAATCAAGTGACCCTGTAGCGACAACGACATTCCGCTTGCACCCAGCATGCTCCATTCATCAGGATTGAAATATTCTGCGATCAGCTTGCACTTTCTGCGCATCATTCGCCGACGTGATTGCTATCAGTAGTGTGCACTGGTTTGAGCTTGTTGAACGAGCGCCACTGGACGATTGATATGTGGTGGGTCCCTGATGACCAACCCATCGCCCCCACAATATTACCTGCAAGCTGAGCGAAACGCCAGTGTCATCTGCAATATTAAGAAACATTGCAGCGGGACCTTCTGGTGGCTATCAGTGTGATGGAAAATGCAATTAGGGTCCTCGCCTCAGACTAGACTAAAAATGTTGCAACCACACATAAAATTAGGCGTTGTGCTGGCATTCATAAATTCCCTCCCTCCGTATGAAGGCGAGCCAGAAGCAACCGGTACTACTCGCGGCCACGAGTTGGCCGAGCGCGGTCGTGCTATTCTGGGTCGCTATCGTCGCCGTGGTCAACTTGGGCAGCATTCGGCTCTCAGCGGATCGCCAACACCCGACGACGTCGCCAAGCCAGGTTTCACAGTCGCGACCAATGACGATAGACGATACCGCAACGGCGAGGTTGTCACTGGCCTCGGCGACGCATTCCGTCGATGATGCGATCGAAGATGACCCGGTCACGGTGATGCCGACGCCTGCGCCGACGTTGATGCCAAGTCCCGCACCGGTGGTTTCCGACAGCAATGGCAACGTGTACCCAATCGACCCCAGCGGCAAGGTCGCGTGCGCAGTGCTCAACATGAACCACTTGGTCGAAGAGTACGTCGACAAGACCGAGTGCTACAGCGTTGCAGAGCGCCGCGCCCGCATCCGAATGCTGCTACTCGAGGCTGCTCGGGCGCTCGAGTACCAAAAGATCGAGTACTGGCTCGACAGCAGCTCTCTCGCCGGCGCTGTTCGCGAGCGCGATGTAAGCCCAGACGACGTCGACGCCGCCATTGGTCTCACGCAAGCGTCCATGGACCAGCTGCGTCATTCACGCTTGATCACATTGCACCCGCGCTACGCACTCTTCCTCAAGGACAGCCCCCACTACCGTGACGGGCCATTCCCGTACCCGTCGGGCCGCTTTGTCGACACGCAAACAGGGTTGTACACGAACATTTTCGAGTTTTTCCCGTCGCGGCAACCGGCCAGCGCCCCGATCTCGATCGCGACCGGCACTCTCGGCGCCGAGCTAATGCCCCTGACCAAAGGAAATGTGACCGAGATGCTTGGGCCCGTGGTGTCGCCGCGCACATCGGCGTGCAAGTACTGCGCCGACGGTGGCCACTTTAACGTGCTGACCGACTGGGTCTTTCCGCTGCAGCCGTGTTCCATTGACGGCACTGACGTGGTTTGCCCCGCGCGCTCGGATAAGTACCTTACCCTTATGTACGGCGACATGTACATGGACGAATAGTAAAATAGTGATAGTTGTTGTTGAAGTGGGTCGTCTATTACAATAGATAAAACTATGCTAAATAAAATTGTCGGACTTTCTTCGTTGTGTGTACTCGGTTGAGGGACTTGATTTAGGCAGGCGGAGGCAGGAGCGCTATCCGCGGAACGAGGTGACGTCGCGGCCACTCATGTTGGGCGAGGAGCCGGAGAAGTCGACGAAGAGCAGGCTGCGCGGGCTCTTGTACGAGGCTGTGGTGCAAGTGCAGT